GGGGGGGGGGGGGGGCGGTGAGAGAGAAACGCATTATGACGAGGCGCGAAGCGTGGCCGTAGAGTCAGTAAATCATGTTCTATTGGATAATTACGGCTTAATGGAATCTGTCGCGGTTTCCAGTGGTGCACGCGATAACTGCCGCGTGTAACGTGTCACTTTTTTTTTCTTTGCCTGAAAGCTCCAACCGGTAAGGAAGTAAATATGAGAATTGATGGTTTTTTTTTCATTTATGGAATTTTTTGTATGATATTTTTTTTCAATACGTAAGTCTGTTATCATATTACGAGATTCGACGTCTTTGGCTACGCTTCGTCTTTGTCGCTATTTTAACCCTTACTTTGCCTTTCATAGGCCCTTTGGCTCCTCGACGTCTATAATCATCCCCCCGTACCTCGGGCAACTACGTCAATTAAACTCGGCCGAGCTGCACCACTGCAATTTCATTGACCTGCTCGCGACACACATGCCGGCCCACACTGCCCCACGCTGCAATTTCCTACAGCGTCCATTGTGAACGACGCATAACGACGCTCGAACTTATTGGTCTACGTATCGAGCGAGTTAGGTTGTTTAAAAAAGCGATTGGCCATTGACGCTGGTTCGCGAGTCGCGTTAAAGCGCTGCTCCTTTATAGCGCTGGATATTGTCAGTAGTGAGTATAAGACGAAGAGAGGAAAGATATAAGATATTATAACGGTACAAAATGAGTGATCGAGGCTCGTCGGTATGACGAAGCATTTAAAATTGGTCTAAAACGATTAACAGGAAGAGCGCGACTCTGTCGTTGGAAATCGCCCACGCTCTGGCAAACTTGTATGGTGCCAACGTTTGAGATACCGAATATGCAACCGACGTCGCGCATCTCGCTCCAGTCCGTGTTCTCTTCTAATTAGCCAAGATTCCGAGCGGCACTGCTGGAGCAATTTCTGCCAATTGGTGCTCGCCGTACCGCCGACCCCCCCGACGCTGCTCCGTCGCGACGCGATACACGATACGATACGATACGATAGAATGAATTCCACTGGAGTATAGTGTTTCGTTGATTATGCAGCGACTCCGCTAGGTAATTCCCCTCGTTTGACAGAGAGTACTGCCGTTCCTGTTGTCGTGGTCCGGGGTTCGCCGCTACTCTTATTGCTGAGCTTGTAATCCCGTCCCAGGAACAATGTCGTACTGTGATTAGATAAAGGCTAGTATAACTAATTAAAGTTAAGGAAGCACGGACTCACCGAAAATTCGAACACGGATGAATGACCCAATGACCAGCAGCTTTCTGTCGTATTCGTTCCTTCATCAGAGCCTTCTTGCTGCCAAATAGTTTCATGGCAAGCTTGTTGTCCGTGGGCTGGAACAGAGCTTGCAGCTGGTTCTTGAGGAAGCTCTGTTTGACTTCCTGTCCCGGTATCCCAGGACCCAGCTCCTCCTTCGGGGTCCCGTACAGGGAGACATCGTCCACCCCGAAGTGGACCTTACCGCTTCCCTTGTAATTCATCTCGTTGCCTGAGAAAGAGAATGAGGTCAGAGCCAGGGTGTCAAGGTCAATTGACTTTCAGGTATACTCAAATCGTGATCTATCTGGGATCGACTTTGAATGGGGTTGAAGAAAGAGTAAAGAAAGAATATTGGCTTACCGGTATCGCCAAGGAAATCGGTAATAAGTAGAGTCTCGTCGTCTAGTGCTGTGACGAGGCTGTCGGTGCACGTGTTGGTGTTCTCGATGCTGATCTTGATGCTGTCATCCTTGTTCAGCCGCGGATAATTGTTCGCGGCGGGATTGTTCCCAACGTGGCAGTTGTTGTTGTTGTTGTATAGATTGCTGTTGTTGTTGTTGCCGTAATGGTAGCTGCTGTTGTTGTAATTGTTGTTGTGCACGTGACTCGTGCTGCTGACCAGGACGTTGTTGTTGTTCTGCTGTCCAAGATTGTGATGCGGCGACCTGACGGACTCTGTGCTGCTGGTGTGGAGCCCGATACCAGTGGTGGTCCTTCCGTTCACCAGCCGAAGACTAGGCGCCCTTCTTCCTCCTCCTCCGACCCCGCCACCACCGACGCCACCCCCAGCGCCAGCGCTACCGCCACCTGGACCAACGCCGCCACCGCCAGCGGCACCACAGACTGATATGGCACGGCCGCCACCTCCGCCGCCTTCGCCCTCCCTGCAAGAATTAAGGTACAACAGGTTATATCTGACACTTCGGGCCACCAGACACTTTTCATACTCGGAGACGGAAAATTGTTTTAGGTCGCCGCCGAAGGTTAATGCTGGACGGTTGCGGTACAAAGACAGCGACGAACAAAACGCAAATTGTCACAAAGAGACGCGAGAGCTACTGGCGCGTCATGAGAGGAGCTTACAGCGACAGAAAACAATGCTACGTGGACGTACGCGGTTTTTGTCTGTTTTATCACGGGATCCAAATTTAGAGACAAAAAACAGTGGAGAAAATGCATCCCGACAGTGACGCGTGTGTCGTACTGTCTTTTGGAGGTTAGGAACGTTAAATGCATTCCGTATGAATTATTATGCATGCATAAGTGCACAGTCTAAACTGCATGCGTGCGTGCTCTGCTGCTGACTCCTGCGTTTATACGTGCTATGTATGCACGGTGGTTCCGACACCAAGTTCGTACTGTTAACCGTACGTGGTAGTAACCTACACACGGAACCAACCTCCAGCTGGCACTACAGTCTATTTAAAGAATCCTCCCGGTTGCAGCTTAAACTAAGAGGAGACCTGAGGTTCTCTTGAAAGTCACGAGGATGAGAGTCAAGGTTCACTTTCGATCGTCCCTCTAACCTATACCAACCGTACTGTCCCGTCCGACCGAAACAGCTGGCTACATCCAATCAGTCGAGAGGCTGGACTGGACCAGGCCGAGGATACGTTCTCTTACTCTCACTCTTATTTTTACAAGTACCCATAGTCCTGCTACTTCTACTCGTGCTTCCTCGCTCTGGGCTCACTTGTATTAATACGCCTCTCTGTCTCCTCGGGAAGCGTCGGGACGCCCTGAAGCTACGGATGCTGCTGCTAGATCGCTAGCCACTCGGGGCAACCCTGGTCCATGAACCCTAGGCATCTTGAGTGCCGCGTGAGGAGTTTTAGAGGGGAAGAAAAATATAAAAAAACGGTCGACATACCAGACGAGGGCAGAGAGGGAGGAAGAAAAAATATTGTGATATTCTCAAGCGCAGCTGTGACGCGCTCCAATGTCAGCGTGCCAATTAAAAATGAACGCCTGCTTAGCGGGCGGCCTTATTAAATCCTCTCTGCTGCCTGGTAGAACCCCTGACTATCTAGAGCAGATAACACTAGGGGTACTTGGGTACGTAACCGTGTTTCTTTCTCTTTTTGGATTATCAGCGATACGACCTATCGACGTCAGTGCTGCCAATTTCAGTCAGCTAAGTTGGGCGTCGATTGCTTCCGCGCCAAATGAAATTGACACTTTTCTAGGTTATGGTATGTCGCGAAGGGCCGTTCAAATATTTTTCAAGCTAGATAACGACCTGGAGATTGTCACATAAAGAAATGTCTGTAACAAGTCCAGTATAATATATCTTGATATATTGTCACGTCTGTCAGTCTGGCGTGAATTTTTGAATCGAGAAGAAAATTCGAGGCGTTTACGAAATTTTTCATGAGAATTCTTAGAATGTTGGAACACTCGGATTTCCCTATGTCGTAATTACGTGGAATTCGAGGAAATTTATCGACTTCGATATATCATACCAGCATTGCCAGTCCTTTACGGTTATGACATTTTCCGATTTTGTAATTATTAATTTATTTCTACCTGTCCGATAACTTCAGTCAAAGCTAATTAAACAACTCGCACTTAATTCATTTAGCCTATCCATTTGCATTTTTATATGCAACGTTATTAACATCATCTGCGTAGCAATGCTGGTCGAAGATTCCTGACTATGAATCAATACGTGTGTTAATAATTATGATGCTTACCGAGTATTAGAAACAGCGTGTACAAGATGTCAAGCAATGATACGTAAAAATTCCACAAATTGAAAATTCAGCTTCTCTCCACTTCCTCGTCCACTTTCTGTACCACCAGACTCTCCTTCACACTTCACCACCCTCGATAACACTCTCACTCACTTATCGCGACGCTATCATATTTTAAGAGGACAATTTAAAGAAAAAACACTTTTCATATAGACAAAACAAGATTGTCTAGCTCGCACGTTTCATGGTTCGCGTACTACTAATCACTACGATATTTCTATGGACTGACTAAATAAGTACCTCGTCGTTCGCTATCAATCCCTGCGACTTTGTCGGGGAGGAATTATTTATAAAATTTGCAGACCTGTCAAAGACACCCGGTAACCTCTTAATGGCTTCTAAAACCAGTCAAAGCTGACAATAGATGTTTGTAACGGGTCGAACAAATTGAATTGACAAGCCGGTACACGAACGTCAATCGAACGATCGACTTGATCGATCGACCGATCGAACAGTCTGAACGACTGACTTTACTGATTTAATGATAGACTGACTCACTGACAGTAAGACCGCTTGACTGACTGACTGACTGTGAAGCAAAGCTGGAGAGTTTGTCTGGCAGAGGCCTCCGTTCACGGCGCATGGAGCGGGGAGCGATTCAGCCAACCAACCAACCCGACACACACGTATATACACATAAATAGAAACACGTTCGGAAAGAGACAGAGCGAGAGAGGAATATAAACTAGGAATAGAGAATGAGTGCGACAGGATACGGGTACAAACTCCTTACGACAGACATCCTCCATCCTGGAACGCAGGAACGAACTCTTGAGAATACTTGGATCTTTTTTATTGTTTAAACACTTTTTTTTTTAGAAAATCAACTTTCCGAACCCAAGTACGAGTTTAAGTGCTGCGAGTCCTAACAAGCACCAGATTCCCAGTCCTTCTAAATCGTTCTGCCGGATGTGTGGCAATCGGGTATACGGTGGGCATATTTTGAATTTACGAAACTTAAGACGAAAAACGGTTGCTGTGTTTTAAAATGATGCAACGAAGTTCGAGGAATATTTTTAAACAAGCAATTACGAATTACGACTTGACGAACTATTAATGGATCGGTATACAAATGTCGTAGCTACTTATTATTAGGATGTGGATACACCTTGAGGTCAGAGGTTAAAACAATCTTACCTAAAGGTTATCAGCCTCCGGTTGCAGAAATAGATTCGCGTCGCGTCTCCTTTACGACGTTCGATCGGTATATAAGTAATTCACGATGTAAAGCCAAATTCTCATGTACGCATTAAAACATCCGAAGAGTCGCGTGATACAAAAATATGAGAGTCTTCTCGTAACTTCAGATCCGTTCTAATGAAGCGATTAACTCCGACGCAGTCGCCCCGAGTTTCCGAGCAAAAGTCAATTTGCTTAATCGCGGACTCCTGCCGTCGTCTCTCGATCGACGTTAATTGGCTCCGTCAAATAATTTGAATATCTTGCGTTTTCTTACGTCAATCCGTCGCGACTCGTTATATTTTCACACTCGACCAATTTCACTCGTCGGTTTTACCAATTTTTTCCCACTAACACGGTGAAAGGGAGGAGAGAGAAAGAGAGGCAGAGTCGCACCTAGCGAAAGTAATTCTTTTCAATAAATAATTGACAATATCGTTATTACTTCCTCATTCGATTTCCTCCTTTCTAACGAACATCATCCCCTTCCCTCTCGTTCTCATCCTCGTGCCGGCTCTTCGTCACTAATTACAAATATATGTAACGCTCTAATCCACGGCTTAGAGGAGGCACACTAAAACTGCTAATTGCAGCCTATTACCAATTACGACTGTTGTAAAGACTGGCCAGGGCCCCGTAGACACTAAGTGAAGGTGGAGTTTGCAAATGTCGGAGGATTCGCTTACTGCACCGTAAGGAAGTTCCTTGATCGATTCCGAGCCGAATGTACGTATCTGACCCGAGAAGCGAGGTCGCCATTACGTGCAACAATCTATGCAGGCGTATATAGATATACGTACACGAGGAGTCTAGGATTACGTATAAGAATATCCATGTGCCATATGTACGGATAGGATAGTACAGTGGCGCCCTCATCAGCAATGGGAAATCTAGGTTATCAGATAACAGAACTATTCGCTCGCTGGGTAAAGCCTATTTTCCAAATTGTGCATTAGCTGGGTTACAACCTTTAACCATTTGGGCGACAGCGACTAGAAGTGCTTCTAGTTACCGTACGGAAATAATGAGCGTGACCGCTTGATGGACCCGATGTCGTTTCTTGCGGCCGCAGTTCGTGGCCGATGTCGCGCGCCCCGTGCGGTTCTTTTTGCAAGCAGCAGTGTGAACCTGGTCGAAACGGCTTTGGCGTGTTCGGTACGCGCGAAAAATTGATTTTACACGGTCCTCGCGTACAGCTATGATTTTCTGCGCCCTTGAAGCGTTTGTCCTCAAGTCTCGACTTCCTCAGATAGTATCGCTTACTACGAAGTGTGCGTTAAGCGGTTTGTAGGTACAGTAATGAGAACGGGACTTATGAATGAGAAAAGGAACTAAAAGTACTTAATAGGAAGTGGCACGGTAAATATTCGCTACGTTTTACTCTCTGTGTAACATGTACTTCGGTCGGGTTAGGTTAAACGTCATCATTCTAGGTCGATCTACCGAGAGGTTATGTAGTCGATTGTGTACAGATTACCGTAACGGTATTCCACCCTCGTATAAGAAACTATAACCGGAACTGGTCTATAAGCAGAAAGGAGAGCCAAGAGGACGGCAGGGCCAATTGATTTTTCAAGTTTCTTCGCTGCTGAATAGCCTAACCTCTACGGCAGGTTGCAGATCGATATGTTCCAGGTTGTACGGGCACTTGACTAACCTAACCTACGTAAGCAAAATTGCGATCTCTTTCGACTATCTCTAAATGTATTTTCGGCCTGGCGTTCTCTCGGGGTCAGGGATGCCAACGTTATAACCGTGGGCGGTCAAGGGGTATGTACCCGGACTACACGGAAGTTGGAGTGGCTCCGGAGGGAGGAGCTAAATTCAGAGATCAATACGAGAAAAGCATGACACGCGCTTGTGAAACCACGGCAGAGCGATCGACGATTCAGAATGCGACAACTTGTCTAGATCGATCCAACTTTCTGTCGTGCCTGTGAAAAGAAAGGAAAGGTCAGGCTGTCAATGAGCATAGGTGAAAGTTAGACAGAGACACTTAATAACAATAGGACTACATACTGTCCCACTAGTTGGCAATTGGTACTGGGGTTTCATTTCAGGTGACAGCTGACACAGAAGGAAAGAATATAAAAAACTGGAAAGTTTCCATATACATTTATCACTGTTGTACTACTGACTCCAGCTTATTCTATGGACAGCGTTACTTTATAATTGAGGGTATGGGTGAGTATAAATAATTACCAGGAAAATAATCAACCACTAGAACCAATTCCATAACTGATAGATAATCAATAGTTTCTACAATCTGCTGTTGATAATTTCAGGAGTTGACAATTTCTTGGAAAAATCAAGATATTCTCTATATATCTTCACTATATTCAACAACATTAGCTGCTGCTGGAGTCAGGAGGCAAAGGTCAATTTTTCATAATTAATCATACTTCTGGGACGGAAATTTTCAAACTAACACTGCACGCGGTACATACGCAGCTCGCACAGTCCAGCAGGTATAAATATTTATCGATTCGATTCGGTGGCGACCGGCACGCGTTTGCTTGGTTACATACACATCCATATATATCTACATCCCATATATATAATTCTACCTACCAACCTACCTTCCTATCAACTTATCTATCCTGTCAGCTGACCAACTGACTAGTTGTATCCAGCTTGAATAGTCGGCAATTCAGTCATAATTTGCTCTCTTATTTTTATATCATAGAAACCATCAGGGTCAGGCGGTATTCTCGATAATGTTATTCAGGATCCACCGAACGAATACTTCAGATCAATCATTTAATCAGCAGATCAATCCTTATTCAAAGTGTAATCGAAAGCGTCGGACGGTCAAGCACCAATGAGACGAAGTCTTCAAGCGACATCACGTATGGTCGCACTATTGAAAACGCTTTCGCAAAAGAATAGAGAGGCAGTTTGGTTATAAATACGTGATGGCGATTGGGTTTGGTGGGATTTATGCGGAGTGGAGGGTGGGGAGGATGGTAAAATTTTGTAAGGAGTAGGGAATTTATAGGAATGTGTATGCCAGGTGTATAATATCTACCTACACAATACAAATATATATATATATACACATATAATGATACAAGTTTGTGGAGCAGGTTGCAAAGAGCATTTATTGTATCATGGCGTTGGTATTGCTTGCGCAATGCTTTGGTACAGAGCGTGTAAGAGCGTGAGTGCCATGGCCATTGGGACAACGGAGCGCATAGCCATGAGAGCAAATGTTGTGACACAACACTCCAAAGCACACAGATATTGTGACAGTGCCCACCGGCCGAGGTTGAAAAGCTAGTGTGAGCAGATAATAACTGGATGAATTGCTGGATGATCAACTGAATTAGGTACAGAGAAGAGATGAGTCTATGAGTAAATAGTGAGAAGAAAAATATGTAAAAAATATTAATCAAAGATATTTCGTGAACCAACGATCAAGACTGAAGATCATTATATTATATGCGTACATCAGAGGGTTGTTCTCCTGGATGTTGGTCGGCTGCGTCACGGCCGCCCTTCTAGGACGCCATAGAGCAAATCTTGCCAATCCGTATTTTGTCATCACTTTGTGGGATTTTCTTGATTTCAGGTGAATTCGATTAGAGTCCTTCACTCCGTGGCCTTCTACTTCTTCTCCAAGTTCTTTGCCGCTGCCATCACCGTCTCCTTCTCCTCTGCTACTTGGACCTTCTGCTCATCCACTTTCAACCCCGTTGACCTCCTGTTCTCCCACGTGGACTTCCTCTTTCTTCCTCTCGCCGACAATTACACTAATGCTATTTTATCGACATGCCTGTAAAAAGGTTACACGTTGTCCTCGTGTTTCGACCTCGACCTCGACTTCGACCCTCCTCAAACTCGATCGCTCATTTTTATTTTTCCCCTGGTTGAGAAACTTTCAGGGCGATCATCCGCTCAGGAGATTGGTCAGGATCCTTCGCGTCTTGTTCGCGCACTTCCGTAATATGTTTCTGAATGACATGTTAGATATTTTTTTTTTCCTAGTATCAAAACGAAGGAAACTTTGATGAGTCAATAGTTCTCCATTTGCTAGGGGTCTAATTTTATTTTTAACAAATCCTTTTGCCACGTGTTTGTACTCATGTGACCCATCGCGTGGGACGCAACCTGGACGAGATCGTTAATGTATAAATTTTTCTAGATTTTTGGTAACGACGCCCAAACGAGTAGCGTCTGAGCAGCCTTGATTGACCCAGGCTATGATGAGTTCAGGTGGGCAGCTAATCACATGGAAAGAACACCTAAAGAGGTAAGGATGCCAATAACTATCCAACTCCGATTTAACGATGATGGCGTCCTCTTGATGGTTTAAAGTTTGTTTCTTTTTTTTCCAGTGAATCGCTCACGTAAATTCTTGCCGAGTGTCTCGTTGAGATTCGATGCACGTCACTGGAGAAGTAGTCAGGCGGCACGCCGTCAGTCGAGAGTCGTGAGCCAAGAGTCGAGACGCAAAGAATGTAGATCCGTAAATCGTTCCGCCAATCCGTGGCGGCACTGAGCTTGCGCAATCCGCCCGACTGCCTGGAATAATTCAGTGACTTGATCGGCCTATGGAATCTTGACGTAATGCAAGTTTTAAAAGGCACGCGATGTTGTACATATGCGGACGCATCGATTATGTACGGTCACCGTGTTCTCGTGCCACTGGTCCACCTCGATCGTCTCATCCAAGTTCTCGACCTCGGCCACCTCCTCGTGCACCTCAGAGTAATATGTGACATTCTCCAATTATGATTAATCTCTCTCTTGGTCTTCTTTCGCCACTTTCTCTTCTTCTTGTTCTAACTACTCTTCGTTGGATATGATTGTATCAGTGTTCAGACTTCCATCGTTGAGGTGTTGTTCCAGGAGGTCCGCAGGAACCTGACGAGCTTGAAGCACGCCAGGTTTTTTCTACGTCTCCCACGTAGGCACGGATCGATTTCGTGACCGTCACCGGCGGCGGCTAGGTCACGGGGTGAAAGGGTGGAAAGGCAGGAAGGTGGATATCCAGTAAAGCATAAATGTGCGTCATTGACATGAACATTGGGAACCTTGATTCTTCACGATTAACCGACTGTTTCTGTTCACAGCTCCTGACTCCAAGCACTTTGAGGTCAAGTTTGATTCTGCTGATTGAACTTGACAGTTGACAGTTTCCGGCATATCCGCGACACGCTGGCAAGTCATTCAATCACCGGGTGCCTCCACTTTGTGACTTTTAAGTCCAAAGCCTCTCAGAGGTAGCCATGTTGCTTTTTTGGCTTCTCAACTTCCCTCACTGGCACACACTCTTTCGATCTTTCAGCACTCGAATGACTCTGATGACTTCAGCCAGGCATGTTCCTCCTGGAACATTTTTCTTAATGATCCTGAATCCTCAGGTGTGGCCGGTAGTTCAGCTGGCGTACCGCGACGATCCAAACCCTTCGAGTCAGCCTAGATATTCTCGGGGTATTCGAGGAGCTGCTACTTCGGCGATTGCGCTCTACGCAGACTATGCTACCCCGTGAACAAGGGTGGTTGGTTCCTGTTCTCCTTCCACTCTATCGATCGAGCCTCGTTCCTCCCACGGAAGAAAGAATAGTCGGCAGATCCCATAAATGTCATCATCAAAAATAGCCCAGATCAAGATCCCATCCCATCCCATCATCTTCAAGAAAAAAAATCACAGTACCAGTGAGCAGAAAAAGATATCTCAAACTGTTCTAGAAGTTGATAGAACTTCTGACCTATGAGCTATCGCTCCATTCAACCCTTCATGAGGTATCTGAGCCATCAGCACTAAATTTTCCAAATTTATCAACAATCTTCATAATACCTGCTTTACAATTTCCACCAGATATTTCCTGAACAGATGATCTCTATTCATCTGTTTTTAAATCTGTCCGCTGCGTGGCGCCACTGTCGATCAAACGAGCTCGACCTCGAGCTTCCAAGACGGAATCGTGCTCGAGGCAAGTTCCTCCCTCTCTGGGTACCCTCGCCCTCACCCTTGGTGCTTCGCCCCCAATGAACTCTGACGAAGTGATCGGTACCCGCTGCATGATGGCAGCACTGGCTAACCAGCATAAACGCCAACCACGGCAGGTACATCAACTACGAGTAGCTCGACCGAAGTAACGCCGCAACGTATTGGATCCACCGAGTTCGAATGAGGTAGCACAAATAAAAAATAAAATAAGCGTGTGTTGCCGCAGCCACAAAGTCCAAATAAGTCGTACGTCGGCGCATGAAAAAATAATCACCTCTTGTTCTTCGCTTTTCTTCGTTCCATTTCTTTGCCATTCCAATGTACTTTCTACTCAACTACTCAACTTCTACAATCTATACTCCAACTATCGTAACGAGGTATCGAGCTTCCAGTGAGCAATTCCTCTCAGCCTCCCTACTACCAACAGGCATTCTCTCAATGTCGTTCAAAAACATTTGTAATTGCGCTACGCGATTAATTAATCCCAGGGTCGTTCCCACTTTGCGGCATTCCGAGTAATACTCAAGCATTACTTTTGTACATAGAATAAATACACAACTTACAACGAGAACGGCCAGGAGGTTTCAAGCTTCCGGGACGGAAGTTGCTCGCACTTTGTGCCATTTGGATTCTCGACTCCGTGACAACTGCACCAAACAAACGTTCGTTAGGTTAGGTTAGCCCCGTTACTCAATTACTCCGTTCGACCGTGGGGTTCACTATGATAGGTCCTGATGATAGAAAATTAATGTCATGAAGGAAAGAGCTTACAACTTCCTATTACACAACGTTACAGCATCTGAACGCACGAATGCGTTCAATTCGCTTTTTTTTTCTACAATTCCTAAGGTCTCGACCTCGGTGCAACAAAAAGTTTACAATCTACGAAACCAATTGACCGATGAACCAAATGATCAATGATCCATGCTCGTGTTTGGCTCTAGCTGCTTCTTTTTTTTTTCCAGAAATAATCTCAAGAATCCAGTCGGCCAGTCCCACCACCCACTCACTCCCACACCCGTCACACATGTGTGTCAACGATAACTATACCGGAAGAAGAATCCTCGAGCGATGCTTGTGAAAGCATTGTCTGGCATGGAGTGTGCTTGACCTTCTCCTACATATCGAGTGGGTATGAGCTATGAGCTTGTACGACTTGCGACCTAAAGGCTCTTCTTACCGACCAAGCTACTACATGAGTTATCAGTGAAGGACATCCTTATGCCACATACGTGGGCATGGCTGCCTCTGTTATCCTTTGTCGAGAAAGATCTCTCTCGAAAAATCTCCATTCTATGGACGTGCACGTTATATTATATGTATATAGACGTATTCAGGCATATCACTTGTCATACTGTATATCCACTCATGAAATGCCAATCGGCTCTTTGTTGGCTAGAAGCATACTTAAAACATTTCGAGGTCCACCCAATGAATTTTCTCTCTTTCTCTCTCTCTCTCTCTCTCTCTCTCTCGTTTTTCTTTCTTTTCTCTCTCGCACGAGCGATCTCCCTTGACCCCTTGACCCGGCTCACGACACAACTAGGACATTGCGCCAGTTCGATATATCATCCCCACCCACCCTGTAACCTGGCTTCCTGAACGATCTAACCAGTTGCCATCTGGAAGAGAATGCTTCTCTCCTGCCACCTTTGGGAATCATGCCTGAGGCTGACATCCCTCCCCGCCGATCCTTCTATTTGGCTTCGGAGCTTTTCAAAACATCTTGTTTACTTTGACTCGCTTTCAGCACGCGTGTCTCTGGCTGAAGCGGCAACTGGATTTCTAGTAATAGCCTCGACGCGCGGATGAAGATATTTACTTTTAGGGTTTCCTGTTCATCCGGGAGAGAAACAATACTGACACGGCGATTGTGCATGACGCAACTATGTTATGCGGATTATTGGAGCTGAAAGGACTTACCTTATTCTGCGCAATTGTCGGACGCGTATTACGTTCGCTTGGTGGTACTTTCATGGTACTTTCACCGATTGCCCAATTTCTTTAAGTGACCTGAGTGCCGAGTGTTCGTGCAAATAAATTTGCTATTACGTATCTATACGTATAAGGAGCATCGCTATTTTGAGTTATTACATGCAACTTCAATATATTATATTTTCAGAGTCGCGCGAATCGATATATATATATATATATATATATATATATATATATATATATATCGATTATATTATTGATATCACAGGGTGGTCGAAATATGGCTACATAGTCTGCTTTCTGAGAAATCGTTGGAAATATGGAGTTGACTTTTTCTTTAAATTAAATGAGATAAGAGGGTTGACTATTTTACTTGTAAAAAAATTTCGAGTGCCCCTACATGGAGATAGGGGACACTCATTGTTTTTGAGTGGAGTGCAAATATTAGTTTATTGGTAAAGCTTTTATCAAATTTGATAAAATTTGTTTGCAACATTTTTTTATATGTTAAGTGGTTTTATATTTAATTTGAAAAAAAACATCAATTCGATATAACCGATGATATTGGAAAAAAATTTGCAACACTATTTGGATCACCCAATATATATACGTATAAGGAATGCATGATATAACCTATCTATGTAGATACAATCAATCCAATAAAGAAGAGGAAGAATACGAAGATATTTTTTATAGTTATTAATTGTGAGTGACCCTGGGCCGTAGGACAAGCGAACTGGCCAATTGGTCGACTCGGTGTATAAAAAACCTTTGATTTCTGGGAAAAAGAACGAGTAAAATCGAGTAGAAAACGTGAGAGAGACCGTTCAGACAAGTATATGTCCAGACAATAACAAGAAGACAAGTATAAAATGACTTAATAAAAAAAATTCAAGTAGTAATAATAAAGTGTCATGCAACAGTGTTACAACAATAGATTAATAAAAAAACAAACAGAGCGACTGCGCGTGCGCTTACGTGACAATGACAATGAGTAATATAGTAATAAAAATGCATGTATCTGCGCAATCTCAAGAAGGGGAAATGAGACGGACATAGTAAAGACAAGATAAAAGAGACGAACAGAGATATAGACAAAGATAAATACATAAACAGTAAACTCGTAGGTAATAAAAGAGACAGTCAAGAGAGTGATTGTATAGTGAAAGAAAGAAATAAATAGAGAGAGAGAGAGAGAGAGAGAAAGTGTCAATGTATTCCTACTGTTTTTAGTGTGTGGCGTCGAATGGCCGGACGTCTTGATATTAGTCCAACATCCCTACCAACATAATAACACTGTTATCAGAGTTGTTCGCTGGAGGATGACAAACAAAAATAAAGGTATAACGGGACTGTTGTGCATTGTCTATTTGAAACAACATAACCATAACAAAGTTCCATCAACTTCGGTAAAAATACATCGAGCGATAACGAAGCGATCTGAAAATTGCGTTGGCGGCCATTATGCTGACGTCACTGTGACGTATTACTATCTCAACCACGTCAACCAACTGGAACCTGTACGTATTTATGTATTTTAGTAAAAATCTCGAACATCTGACGAGACTCGACTGAGAAATAAGAGACAGACCGACAGGAGGAAAATGAATCGAGCCTAGTTCCAGTCTCATGCACAGATGGCGACACTGTCGACAAAGTGGATACACGCTAATAGAGTTTGGAGGGCTTTCCGAGATGGCAGCGAGATGCTAACCTCGGCAGAGATGACTGAGATTGGAAACTGTGGTATATTATACGAAGCCAACTCCTGCCACTTCGCCCTTTCTCTCGCTCTGTCTCTCTCGCTCTCCCATTCCTACTCGGCCCATTGCCAAGACGCTGCCAGAGCACTCTTGTATTTCCGCCTCTTCCTCAGCTCCGCTTTCCCACCCCGCTCACCACAACTTTTAGCCACTTCCTCTTAATCTTCCTCTTATTCACGATGAGGTCGTACCACGTACGGCCGTCGCAAAAGCGCCGTGGCACGAGATAGCTACAGGCCAGACATACGGCCTTTTTCCAAGCTAACGGTGGGTGCCCGGAGGGGGAACAGAGAGATTTAGGCCGTTGATTTTAATCGGCTCGAGGGACTCGACCATTCAGCAAAATTCCAGCGAATGCTCGCGGAACTTGGTACGTATGTGGCACAGTGACCTATGACATCACAGTCGGGTCACAGATATATCACAGGAGACTACGTAGGTGGGTTTCGAGGATAATTATTATTATTGTTATTCGATGACTTCAGGATCATGATTCGAGAGAGAGGCAAGAAGGATCCAAGGTGCAAGACTGTGATCGAGGTCGAAAAGATGGCCGCGGGGAGGTGCTGTGGGACCTTGAGCGCAACCCTAGCGCCACACCACTACAATATGGGTCAGTTATCGATTGCACTCCACCCCTCCCCTCCCCCAAGCCCTCTTGCTGCTCTCCTCACCCACGCAATCACATCCCAGCATGGTTCTCTCTTTCTCTCTCCCTCGTCACACATTCATACGGGCTCACTCGTTCTCTTTTGGCTCTTTAAGAATGGCTGCCTGCTCGCAGATTGGCGCTTCGGATATACAACCCGTCATTATCGGTGTAGGCCGGAAGATCATCAACAGTGCGGACTAATGAGTCAATGGGTCAACGGGCCAATGAGGTAAAGGACGCCGAGAGTAATGCCATGGGGGCTGATCGTGAAAGGGGAGCTTTTATAGGGGTTTGAGAACACACGAGGAGGTTATGGCGCGAGAGACTTGGTTCGAGCAGCTGCCAAAAGCTTCGGCGTCCTTTTCATCTGTACGTCGAGACGCTCGAGCGACGTCGAATTAACGACTTTTGTCTTAAGAGCCTAGTCGAGGATGGATTCTTGGACTTAGATTTTGACTGAAAGGTTCGTGACGAGTTGATGACGACATTGAATTAAAGAAAATTGATGGGGGAGGCACATATGTTGTTACTCTACTTTGGGGTTACTGCTTTTTCTTTTTTCTTGATATTTAGCAATTCCAAATTTTTTAGTAGACAGGGAGAGGGGAGAGAGAGAGAGAGAGAGAGAGAGAGAGAGAGAGAGAGAGAGACAGTCGGTACCACGTGTCAACAGTATTTAAATTTTGGATCGATCTAATGAAAAATTAATTTATCGATCTTCTGATTGAACAATCGAATGAAAATGTCTGCGATCAATTAAAGACGGGTGATTATTGATTTTTGGATAATGCGATAAGGATTTACGAACACTAGCGTTCACTATTGCTAAATTATAGCTCAGCCTTGTAATTACACGTAGACACGTGTGCCCATGTTCAGGCGAATTTTTGCTAAGCTGTTTTTATATTTATTTTAGTTTTCGAAATGTGAATACTACCCACACTAATAGCGACAATAACAATGACTGACACGTATTACGGTAATGCATGCGCGCGTAACCGTGGACGGTGCTACGTATTCAGGATTTGAATTTTTTTGTTCCCAAAGCTTCCGGCAGAAAACCGACAAAAAAGCCAACGGCTAAGCGTTTCTTTCATCCCTCGGAGGTGTCTCCAAGGTTTTAAGTGCGATCGATTAAATTCGCTCCAGCAAAAAAGAATAGCCGAGGGCACGGATGCATTGTTTCGCGGTGAAAAGGGACAAAAAAAAAGGGTGGAAAAAATGTGAAAAATAAAAAACAGGAAACCGTGTGAAACGAAAGAAAAAAAAGAAGACCCGAAGAAGCGATCAGATCCGAGGATCAAGATAAAAACGTGAAAAGTGCGTAACGCGTGTGCGACACGTGTGTAGATATATTTCCGTGTGAAAGCAGGACTGGTAACATATAGAGGTAAGGATGACCTAACCTAACGTTAAGATGCGATACGTCCTGTGCATCTCTATGTACACATATGTAGAGATGCAGATGCAACGTAGAGTCGGCAAGTAAGGTAAACACGATAATAAAGATAAAAGAAAACTCACGGATGGGAAACCCGTCGATGAAGACTCCTGGTGGACATGGCTCGTCCTCGCGACCGATTTGGGTAGCTGGAATTGGAGTGGGCGCTGGAACTTGAGGTCGTACGATGAGGACGGGTCGAGGGGCTTGAGTTGTTGCCAGAGCCGAACTGTTCTCCTGGTAGCATCGACGCGGCCGCAGCTGGGATGGATTCGGCCACGAGGGCCGTAACGGGTGGCGCGTCCGTATCGGGGGTCGCTGGCAGCGCCGATGGTGTTATTGTTGTGGCCATGCTGGATCGACGCGATCGACGCGATCGACGCCTGGGGCCCGTAAGGCCCGAAGAGCTCGCGAAGCGGCGTGCTAGTCTGCGGGCGAGCCGGCGGGCCAATCGAGCCCCGGCACTTCCGCCGACACCCACGCTGACGGCGCTGACGGCGTCCACCCCCTCTTACAAGGGGATGGTACACGATATTTTATAGAACGGCCGCTCCTCTTACACCTAGTATTTGCCCGGATGTCAGTACTGTCTTTGTTGATGATCGATCTTGCTGACTCTACGAAGACTGTCGTTTCCGGTTTCTTGGGCGTCACTTCAATTTCACAAAATTCACATTCACTTTCTTCCAACCTTATTGCCACCTTGCGATCCTCCCTCTTCGTCCTCTTCCTCTTCCTCTTCTTCACCGTCCTCGCCTCCTCCTCTTCCGCTTCCTCGTCCTCCTCTTCTACTGCTCTCCTTAGCCGTCTCTCTCGTTCGCGACACTCGCCACGTGCTATCCGTCTTCCCACCGTCTCCTCGCCGACCAGCGGGGGGGTCGGCGGCGGCGGGGGCGGCTTCCTCTTTCTTCTCGATGGCGTCGTCGTCGTCGGCGTCGTCCTCGTCGTCACGCTTCCACCTTATCTTCTCGATATCACTTCTCACTTTTTTTTTCACTCTTTCACTCTCTATAACTTCTCTTCGTCCTGAAGGAGATCCTCCTCCTCTTGCTGTATCGTTATCGATTCTGTACACAGACTGACTTCCGGACGGACTGACTGACAGATGGACGGACGGCGTATTTTTACCCAGACTGAAAACCGAAAAAAAATTAAAGATAATACATAGGAATAACAAACTGACTATCGAGCCAAAATTATTATAAGGTATAAACAAAAAATTTACCTGTGTTATTTAACGACGAGCCGGTCATGTGAAGGCGAGGGTCAAGATCAAGTCTGTCGGACGAGAGATCCTTTTCTTTATCTTGTCCACGAGCGAATGAGACTACCGATGGGATTCTTGTTGACAATGGCGATGACAATGACGATGTCAATAACGATGACGACACAGGTAAGTGAACTCTGAATATCCTTGCAGATTCACTGGGAAGACAAGGAGTGCCGCGTTTCGGATGCTGCCACCGCCGAGTCCTCATATCGAATCTGAGGACCGTTAAGAGGAAGACGTTCCCGATTCTCAGTCTCACCTCTAGCACCTCTCACTCTTTCCCCCGGATGCGAGATCCGCATTTCCTTAAGGCTCGACCGTATTAATATAACGTAAAAACTTATGACGATATCAACCACTGCTTTCTTTAGGCGTATCGATCGTCCCGACAATCTGGCAGCTGCTGTATATATATATATATTTCTTTTTTAATTTCAAAAAAACGACAGTCAGTCCAGCATCAATGAACCCCTTTGTGATCTTTCATCCGACCACTGCTCCCTCTCAGATCGCCAGTCGCGAAATTTCAATTACGATGCCGTGCGTCGCAATGCCCCGCGATGCGTGAACCTTCGCTCCAATTCAGCCGAGTTCACTCGAGTCGACGCGACAAATAAATGAAGCGTGACGAGACACAAGCTCGCTCGAGTTATTCGAAATTTAGTATAGCTCACTGTCACGAGGTCCATTCAGGTCGGTACAGCTCTCATGGTCAGGTCGATTTCTCAATAGTTCAAAGGGACTGCGAGCGCTGATGAGGTTGTCGAGATCGGATCCGCTGCCATGATGGCGCTGCGATCGTTCGTGCGGAGGATTTTATTGGGATTGCCCTTAATGAATCCAGGTATCGGGATGCGTGACTGTCAATGGCGGACAGACACGTGGTTTGACATTTTCGCAATGTCCGTATTCATTTGATTAATAGCTCGTGAGACAACGAAGAATCGGCGGCCCCCGACGCCTCCTCCAGCAGCAGCAGCAGCACTGCCACCGCAATCTCGAATCTTCCTAGACGAGGTTCTCGGTTTGTCAGTCGAGAGTCGTCGAAGTTTGCCGATTGGTAGTGAGCTTCCTGTCAGTTCCATGAGCGTGACTTCCGCTTGCTCCGAGCGGCCCTACTAGACCCATACGAATCATCGAAATTCCTCTCTCTCCCTCTTTACCTTTCTTTCTCACTGTCACTACCAACCACCTCCACTAGAGCACCACCACGAACACCACCACCAGCACCAAAACTACCACTAAAGGTTATAACACTGCTTTTAAATGCTAGCTTTATTATTTTCTACCTGCTCTCCACCTTCCTTCGTTCCTTATAATTACGCTCGGTCTATCTCTTCGGGTCGTCCTCTTCCTCGTGGCCGTTCCTTCCGGCCGGCCCTGAAGCACCAAATTGTCATCGAGATCGGACTTCCTCAGGATCTCAATAATTGACTCGATAGAAGGACGCCTTATATATTCTTGTTATCCAGTTTCCTCACTTTATGATCTCTCTTCAGTCTCTTCTCCCGGTACCTCCTCTTCGTTCCTTTCCGAGGGCTCACTCGAGCAAGACCAGATTCCACTAAGAAGCAGCACCACTCGATCCGGCTGCAACCGCTGCTGTCCCTTATCGATTGCGGCGCATGGCGTAGACGGGAAGACTGCCACCCTCGCCAAAGGAATTTCCCATGTTCGAGTTTTCGGGAGTCGCCGATGATGATATATAGTCAGGATGTGCGTGAGTCGGTGAGGATGGGAGGGTGTTGGGATGGTATGGCGCGCGCGCCCTCACTGGAACACAAGCGCGCGCAGGCGAGGGCCGGTGAGCCTTGTGCGCGTATGCGTCGAAGAAGGATGGGCCAGGTAGCCGTCTCGGAGGGGGATCAGGGACATTAAACCTATCCCTGGTATACGTATATACAAGGTTCTAATTCGGTGGATATCGGCAACCAGGCGCAAGGCGACAGCGAATTATAAATTGTATATTGGATGAGATATCAGAGAATCTAGGCACTAATTAAATAAATAATCAAGGCAGCAACCCCGATGTTCCAGGGTTTCCAGTCAACCTCATACTAATGAATCCCGCCGAGGCCGAACGAGGATCGCGCGAGGACTCGATCCGCTGACCGACTCGAGGCTTCGGCGCCTGACACTTCTCTGCGCTTGAATCCCTCTACCCCTCTTCGACGGCTTTAACTCCCCCTTCGCCCACCCTCCTCTCGACACCCCTTGCTCTGGACAAGAACCTCTTGGCTGGCTGGTAGCCATGCGTGATCGAGTCATATGATCACATGTTCCTGGTTCGAAGGGACTCCCAATCTTGATGCTGGATCCATCCCTTTTTTTTTATAGTTATAATTATTGATATGGTAACAGTGGAATATTTAGGACTGAAGGAGATACGTGTTGTTTGATCCTAGTTTTCTTTTTTATCATAGCTTTTTTATAACGTGCACTTGAAGTGCTCCCTTTATTGTACAGTGACTCGTTTCGTGAGATCTCATTTGTCTTCGTATGGTTTCGCTCTAAGGTCTCAGTGCGTCCCGTGGGTGCGTCGGGACGCCGAATCTGAGATACATGTTTCAGTAACCTGACAATGTTATTGGCTAGTAGGGTGCCTGATGCTTCCTTGTTTCTTCTTGGTTGGTCTTCTTCTTGGAATTGAACAGGCTTATGTAATAATTAAAGTATGCGACACCGATAGCCTGGGCAACGATCAAAGCACTCAAAGCAATCGAAGCAGTCTAAGCAATCGCAGGCATCGGGGCACTCGAAGCAGTCAAGGGAGTCAAAGCAGCGGAATAGACAGCAGACAGGATTGTAGATTCTCGTTGGACCCTGTGAAGATCTTGCTGGACCCAGGTTCAGGGAATCTTCACTACCTTCGCTCAACTCTTCGACACTGAATGTATCCGTGAGCTCCTGCTTTCTTGAACTCTCGGCGTCATTGTTTCTGGACAGTGGAAACAGGGTCGTTTCGTCTTCGCTAAAAGAAAAAGAATTAAGTGAAATTATTTGTTGAAATTATTTAATGATATTTTGTATCTTGCAATTCTGAATGTTCAGCCAAAAAGTTTACCGATTAAAGCGTATAAAAATAATTTGTGTATTTTTTATAATAACATCCTGCATAATGACTTTTGCAAAGTGCAATGCACTTACCTCTCGACGTCGTCGCTTTGCCAATACTCAACAAGAGGGCGATGCTCTTTCGTTTTACGTGGAATTGACAACCTTTGTATAGATATGATGCCTGCACTTCCGCTTCCACTTCCACTACAGTTCACATTATCATTTGCATGACTAGATAACTTCATGTATTCGGAATTGCGTCGGATGCGTTTAGCCTGCTCGATTCGAGCCTCTGCTGAAACAGGAATTGCGTGTTCTTACTGAATGATACTACGCAATACTAACAGTCGCTTAAAACAATTATAGATTCTTATCGCACGATGAAGTGGTACTTGCCAAGTTTCTTCTGTAGTTGCCTGGTGACGTTCCGCTGGCAGTTACGCCTTGTATCATTGTTGGTACCTTTGTTGTCGTTGTCATTGTCATTGGCGTGAACGAAGTTGACAGTGGCAGTATCACAGATAGTATCAGGAACAATTCCAAGTCCAATACCGGGATTGCCGTGGTGATTAGTATTCCCAGTTGTGAGGTTGGATATGCTGTTACTACTGCTACTGCTGTCACTACCCTGAGGAAGACACAAGGAGGTCAGGACTTCCTCCTGAAGAAGCCTTCGTCCGCCGGAAGTCCACTTCCATCCTCACGATCATCATTCGCCTTTACCGGAAAGAGCCTCTCGTCTTCCATCCGATCGACACCCTTGGGGTCGCTGTCAAATCCACTGTCCTCCATGGCAATGACCTCGCGACAGATGACACTGTCTGTAAAGTCTTTGATGACGTAGAAACACTTCTTGTTCCTCCTCTTCTTCTGGAGGGAAGAAATTCTTCTTGGAGCTCTTGAACTGATCTTGATCCTTCACGTCTCGGGCACCCTTCCACCTAGTTCAGAGCTGAGTGGCAGGATTGATGATGACGGAACAAGGGTACAGGATTGTAGCAGCTTTCATCGCAACAAGAATTTGTCCCCCGGAGCATCCAAGGCTTGCGCGACGTCGTGTAGGAGGATGAACGCACCAAGCAGCAGTCAGGATGTAACGTGGCATCGTGATATTGATTTTTCTGGCAGAACGTAAATGCCTAGCAGAGCCGCCTGGCTGGGTAGTTCACACTCGGTTGTCAACATTGCGACTCCGTCGAGTTTATCTGAATCTGCTGATCCTTGTTTATTGAACGACACACGACTACTGCAACGTCTGTCGCGTGACGATACGGCATTCTAGATTAATCTAAATCACACTCTACCTCTTGACATAAGACGATCGACTAGGATGGATGCTCCCTTCTGCCTTTCAAGTTTTACTGCGTTGTCCGGGCAACGAAACACACTGTTCTCGTCGAGGTCTTCCTGGAGATTCCTATCTGGAGTTTTGAGCTGTCATAACGCTGATTACGATAAGCCTAAAAGTGAAAGTGATAGAGGGACATAAGTAAGGAATATTTGAAGTTAAAAAAGTACCTTGTGACTCGGCGAATAAAGATGCCTCCATCGGCGCCAAAAAAACAATCTTCAAAATTGTCAGACAACAGTAAAGACGTATGTAGAGAAAACTATCATGTTCCATGTGGTTTGAATCGATTAAAGTAATGTTTAATTGTATCAGATAAGCTTAACAAAGACTAAAACATCACGGCAAGACCTGATGGTCGGTAATCTTGGGCCGGCAGGAGCTGCTGGTGATACGGATTGGTACCGGCCTAAAACATTCCTCAAACCAGAAGATCAGCTGCAGCTGTCTGAAGCGGTAAAATAAAAATAGCTAATTAAAGTCGATACAAAACGTATTAGTTATTTGTATCGTTTAAATAGGATTTGCAAGAGGAAATCGCCAGGGTCCTCATGGTGCACAACACAAGAATTCCTGACTCTCTTGTCGAGTGGTCCTGGAAGTGGCGGGAATTCGTCAGGCTTCCTGATCCTCCTCATCTGGTTACTTTACTTAATATATCTGGGACTATGTTACTCAAGGAATCCGAAGAAGCCAGAGTACAAATGGCGGGTGGAGTTATTAGTGAGTTTCCTATCTGTTTTTTTTTTGCAGAAATGAAAGCACCAAATTCGATTTATACTTTACATATCGTAGCTGAAGCGGATGACGATCCCCATGCTGACAAGGAGAAGGGAGATGGTCTCACGGATGAGTTGGATGAACAGGAAGATGAAGACGATGACACTTTAATAGGTGATGAAGATGATGACGACGCCAGGGGTAGGTGAAAAACAAAACCTAAGATACCAAGTGACGTAGAGCCTGGAATAAAATTAAAAGTTTATGCAGAGGCGGATGTGAGTGCTGACAAGAAGAAAACTGATGGACCTACGGAAGCTGAGGGAGAACTTGATGAAGATGAGGCGGAGGTGGCAAGACCAAAAAAAGTACCGAATCAATTCAACTTTTGTGAAAGGGCAGCACTTACCTATGACAATCCCATGAGAGTAAGTAATTATTTCAAGATTTTTAATATTTCACAATTGGCTGCTTGACTTTCTTCAATTGATTCTGTACCCATGATTGTCTTTCTTCTTAGGATGTCACTACACAAACCGTTCCTCCACCAACTGCGAGCTTCAATGGACATGTCTTCCAATGGATCATATTCGATGAGTACCAGGTACGGGACGCCTCTTTCGTTTCCTTTATAACATCAACAAATTATTAGAACATTCATTTCTATTGTAGGAAGACTTTCTGCAGCAACAAAAGGAAAAAGAAAAAGAAAGAAAGGTAGCACCTATGACGACACAGCCTAAAAAGGAAGACGCTAAGAGGAAGGTCCAATCGGAAGCAATGGCTGGAACATTTAGAATGCTTCAGGCAGCCAAAACCCTGGAAAGAATGGTCAATCAGAATATATTTGATGACATATCGCAAGGTAGGACACAAATCATCTCTAAATTCATCATAACACTAATTTTTCAAGCAGATTACAGATACTGGAACGACCCAAGTGATGAGTTCAAAGATGGCGAAGGTTCTCTACTACCACTCTGGAGGTTTAGTTATGAAAAAACAAAGAAGCATGACGTCACAGATATGTGCTTCAACAGCAGATATTATGACTTCTTTGCAGTTTCGTTTGGATCAAGTTGGTAACGCCTTTTACAAGTCTATCGAGCAAACACAATCTTTCAGAATCAATCCTACGTACTGGATAAACATGTTCTCAGTGTCCTTCGAGAGTACTGTGGCCAGTGGTACAGTCTGCCTCTTCAGTTTGAAGAATCCATCTTATCCAGAGTGGATATGCCCAATTGAGTCACCAGTGATGTGTCTGGATTTTAGTATGCAGCATCCTCATCTCCTAGTGATTGGTAACTAAACATGGATAGTGCTAGCTCCACTTCATTACTTAATGTAATCAGATCTTACTCACTGTCTTAGTATCAATGATTGTCAGTCTATCCATCCATCTGTTTCATCCTATCCAGGCACAATGGATGGTACGGTTGCAGTGTACAATGTAATGCTGCCTCCAACTGCTCCACAATACAAGAGCAACGACGTTGTTCAAAAACATGGTGGTATAGTCTGGGAGGTGAGTAGTTGTACCTATAACGTAAAACAAATTACTTCAGAATTATCTACCATTAGGAATTTTGATACCATGAATACCTTCAGGTACGCTGGGCACCAGACACCGAAGAGGGCAACCTTGCTTTTTACAGTGTCAGCATCGATGGGAAGATCAATCATTGGGTGCTTAATCAAAATGATCTTGGAGTGACGACAGTGATGACTTTGTATCTTGACCGTGATCCTATTCCTGGTCCTGATGGAACAATGATCACTCTTAAAGGTGACAATGCTAAATAATACATTAATCCATACAAATTTGGATAACATTGAAATTTCATACTTAGGATGTGGTACATGCATTGCCTTTCATCCTACCGACAAGAATATATTTCTGGTTGGCACCGAAGAGGGTACAATTTACAAATGTAACACGGCTTACAGTAGCGTTTATATGAAAACTTATAAAGAAGCTCATAACATGCCAGTTTATCGGATTGTCTTCAATAAATATAACTCAAGCATATTCGCCAGTTGCTCAGGAGACTGGAGGATCAAAATTTGGGAAGATGACAGGCTGCAAGTATCCCTCCCATACTAACTCTTCTTCTAGAATAATTTTCATATTTACCAACTGCAATTCTGAACAATTGAAACAGGGAACCACTCTTCATGTTCGACTTGGGTGTTCCAATTGGTGATGTTCAATGGGCGCCTTACAGTTCCACGGTTTTAGCTTGTGTCTCTAATGATGGTAAGGTCACAGTTTTTGACCTCAATGTCAACAAGTATCGACCAATTTGCAGTCAAGCAATTGTTAGCAAGAAGAGGAGCAAACTGACCCGATTGGCCTTTAATCAAGTTTTGCCTTTCCTCGTTGTTGGTGATGATAAGTTAGTATACAATTTCTTAAGTACTATTCTTTTTAGTTTTCACTTTCAGTTTTGAGATTTATCATTGAGTTCTTTGTACAGGGGTGTGGTGAATACTTTGAAGCTTTCGCCAAATCTTAGAGTAAGAGTGAAGCCCACGAAGAAGCAGCTTCATCTTTCGCAGGCAGAATTGGAAAGCCTGAAGCTTGAGAGACTTTTGAGCTTTGTTCGAGAGCCACCTGTCTTAACACCTCCCAAAGATGTTGCTGTTACGCATTGAGTAACAATTTTGTTTTTAATTTCTAACATCACAAATATACCATACGTATTCGAAATTATGCAATATAAATTATCCCTAATACTCAGACAGATACAGACACACGGTCCAACCATACTAACTCTAGGCATAATAATAATCCTTTGACAAATTAGTACGAACGTATGACGCGTTCGTTTCCTTTATAAATGTCAGGCTAATAAATATAAAATAATTGTAAGTCATTTAGAATGAAATTTAGCAGTCAGAAAGAGATACTATTTGTCAGATCATTTATATTAACAGACATATACAATATATTTTATCATAACACACGGGCCGCCTCAAGGTAGATTGTGACACAATTTATATTTAATAGCACAGTTAATTATTCCTAGGCCGTGTTACAATCTGACGACCTTGATACTAATAGTTTTTCATTTCTAACATCTAGATTAACAGTTGAGTATATTAATGATGATCTAAAGGTTGTATTTCTGCTCTCGCGCTTAAAGTAACTTCTATATAGTGTTGGGCCATGATGGAAGTTATACATTCAAATAATTGACTACACTCCTACTGATAATAAAATACTTTTTCGAAGTAACAGGAGTAAAAGAATAAAAAAATACAAGATGAATACGGAAGCCCAATATTCTATAATACTGATAAGGTATATAATACTCATCTAATTTTGGCACTGTCCGTTAATCCCCTTCCTCAAGATGGAATGCATAAAACGAGAAGTAATGACATAAGTAAGAAAAAGGAATAACGTAGGGGATAAGGAATATCCATGATCTTAATCAGTAGATATTTTAACGGGTATTTCTGGGTTTTCTATGACACCCCGAAAATACTTAATCTCAAGGAAATCACGTATATTATTTGGACTTGGCACATGCCTGCCGGCAAATTCGATGCTGGACATCGGGTGTAGGAATTGTTCAGGAAAGTCACGATTTTTCAAAAACCATGCGTCTCGAGTCATGGTACCATTTTTTGAATAAAACGGCAAGACGTTCACGTGGAGTCGGTTGGTTTTTGAATATTGGACTTTGAAGAACTCTCCCTCGGTTGCTTTTTCCCAGACGAAGCCCTGACTGTCGACGACCGGTTTGCTTCTGGCTTTGGCAAGCCAGGGGGATCTGGTAATATCATCACGATTTACTCCTACGTCAATCTCGTGACTCCATGGGAGGATGTCCGAGTTCCTCATGGCTCCTAACAGGGAACCACCTTCTAACCAAAACCTAACGCCAGCTTCTTCCAGTCTATTGAAAACGTGGTGCGCAACTTTGCGTAAACCGGCAAGACAGCAGGGTGGTGTGTATCTATTTTGATAGAGGTATGAGGGGATGCCGTTGACAACTGATCCGAAGCAACGAGTGGTATCTCTTGAGCAACCATACCACTCGACAGATCCTGAGGCACGAGTCACCTTTTTTATACCAAGCTTCTCAAACATTGCTCGTTCACGTTTTTGACGGAGCTGGACCACCTTCCATTGAGCTTGATGACTGCGGAACAGTGGCTTCCCTTCATTCAATCGATGCTCTCTTGTTATGTGTATCTGAAGAAGATTGTATCATTTGAAAATCTATATCAACAATGTACAAGGAAAATTGTAAAGATCTTGAACAAGTCATACCTTGGTTCTTAAAGCAGATGTCTGAATGTAAAGAGCATCTGTGAAGGGTTGTAAAAATGGATCCGATAGCTTTCTCAAAGTTTTTGCTTCGATGACAGTGGCATGCCTACCAACTACAGCATCACACTCATCGCCATCGATGGTTCTTAAATGTAAACTCCATTGCTTAACCCTTAGACCTACACTGTAGCAATCTAAATGACCTCTTCCTACAGGAATAGACACAGCACCAAACTTTCCTGCACGAGATATAGCTTCCTGCAAAGAGAGAAACCAAGATGATTATTTCTGTAATGCAGAGACATAAGAATTATAAATCAAACAAAACTTGAATCATCATACATTAGCTAATCGATTAACTCACCTGCATCACTTGTTTACTAGAGAGTCTAGTAGCATCAGGCAAAATCAATACATATTTAGTGCGCACATAAAACAGTGGATTGCGTTCTTCGAACGACTTATTAAACTGTGGTTGTAGGTTGATGAGCTTGACATTTTTCATGCTTTTATTTAAAAAATCTAATTCCAATGGTGGATAAGGTAGTTCATCGCAAACGATGAGAATTGGAATAGTGGGAAAGGAATTAAGGATAGATTCAACAGTGGCAGCTACATCATTTTCAAAGGATTCAAACTGTCTTATTATCACTGTTACAATTCGTGCAAGACGACGATGAAATTTTAGAGGTGCCTCGACAGTAGTGAGACTGACGTTTGAAGTACGCGGACTCTGCTGAACGGCAAATAACCTCCATATTCTATGCCAGATTATAATGTTTCCCAAAAGAGCGAGCACCAACAATGTCTTTACGAATCGAAGTCGCATCATTATCGCGCTTCTTTCACACCCGGCATGTCTACCCTGTCTAGACTCTCTGGACGGTGCTACAAGCGGCCCAGAGAGACTCCTGGATAGCGGAAACAATTAAGAAATCCTTTGCTCCACATCCAGAGGTTCACTCCTCCGGACACTTTAACCACCACTTGACGCGAAATTAATCGACGATTCGACCTAACTATTACGGCTGCGATCTGTCTCGACTTCTCTCGAACTAATGCCGACCTTACGCGCTTTCTATACTGGCTATATCATTTTGCTCAATATTTTTGTTAGTATTATTTTGTAAAGATTATTAACAGTACAGTTTTTATAGTGTTTGTAACTTTACCAACATTCAACAGTAGGATGGTTTTCCACCAACCCAAACAATAACCACCCTATGTGACACTTTGTAGGTAATAAAAATATCTTGCATTTCTCGTACTTACCAGAAAGTGGGCAGATAACACGGAAAATATCGTTTACGTCTTAATTAATTAATTTATTAGAAATTCTAATGACTCCGATCTATATACGCTTCCTTAATCGTGGGGTGGGTTTGTTGCGATTTTCCGATCGTTGGTAATCATGGCTTGCGTACGGACGATTCAAACTGTATGAGAATAACCAGATAAGTTGTAACAGCGGCTGCTATCTGAAAAAATATAAGAAATAAATCTAGCTAACTAATGGTCCAGACAGAACGGTAGAAGCTGTACTATGCACAGAGATATTACCGACTGCAGAAGACTCGAGTCTAATGGAAAAAGTCCAGCACCGGAGAAGGCAATTTTTTGATGATGCATCTGAAGAGAGAAGGACTGCACCTGTAAGACAGAGAGCAAGTTAGTTGTCAAATAAATTATTATTCTGAGTAATGAACGTCGTACCGATTGATAAAATGAAATATCTGTGTTAGACAAATCCATTTGATGCAAGAATTTGCCCGCGGAAGTTGCCTTAAACAATTTAGTATAAATAACTGTTGACAATGTGAGTTGCTGATAATTTTTTTTTGGATATCGAACCTGATTACGTGTCCAATTACAGGCAGTTACAATTAAAGCGATGCCAATGAGGTAGATAAAAAACCAATGTGCATGTGTACACAATTGTTTAAAATTCATATGATCTACACCCTTGCGTAGTTCAACAAATGTGTAATAGAGGGCGGTAGTAAGTACCCAAAATGTTGTCAAACCATTAATGACCTGGAGCAGTAAAAAGATGTAATTAGTTGAGTTATCGTTTGAATTAAAAAATAGTGAAATATAAACCGAAAGGAATGTACTATATTCCAGCCATATATATGATTGATGCTTCTCGCTACGTTGCAGAGATTGGAATGTACTTTAGCAAGTGAAATCAGATGTTTTGTGACGCCATGTTGCGAGTCGGGAGTCTTTCCTGAAGAAATCGGAATTACAAATTAATTAGAAGAGATCATTGATCGTTATAATATGAATTACCAATGATTGTTATATCCGGTACGAAGCTGCGAGAAAGACATAAATTATGGTGAATCCTTGCAAAGGTGGTTACTAAATTATTGGCAAGAGACCGGAAGTGTAGGCCTACGAGTGACACCAGACAGATAAATAAGGTGACACTTATGATATGCGCCATCACGATAAACTGCGTGATTGGCCATAAAAAAGGTACTCTGAAAATATGAAGATCAAAATTTGTATTATTCTTTGAAATACTGAGCTCACTTCCTGATATTACATTTGGAGAAAGTCCGCTTCGATTATCACGTTGTAGATGGTTATTGGTATCATAATGAACATGGTTGACCATAAAAAGGCTTGAAGGTACATCGCATTCTTTTTATGATCTACGTGACATCCCAAATTTTTCAAAACATAGCTTTGCGCGGCAAGTAGCTCGATTGCTGATAAAAACTGAAAATATCTTTATTAAAAATGATTTAATCAATGAAAATTCAACGAGAGTAAAAGACGGCTCTACTTTTTTACTATGATATAATACCGAGCTGATTATCGTTAAAACACAAACGAGGGTCCAGCCAAATCGAAGGTGGAGAGTAACATTCAGCAACGACACGTCTGATCTGCAATTAATATGTTTCAGCATCAAGATATAAAAAAGTAGCACAGTTCAACTATAAGGATATCAATTACCTCGTGAGCGTTAAACAGTTATATAGCCAATGAGAGAAACATATAAGAAAGACAAGAAGCAGAAGAATGCTGTAAGCAATCATAGGAGATTGTCTGATATACTTTCGTGAATGAAATGGACCATTATCCATTTTCAATGGGAATAACCCAACAATACGCCAAAACCAAGCAACCCTTTCCAGGACAAAATAAAAATCACAGGTTCGACTTTTCATTCTCTTATCACTACCAATCGGACTGATCCTGTTATTCCTCTTGAACGACGATTGAACTGATAAGGTAATATTAAAATTGTATAAATTACAAAAAATTCATAAAAAACCTCAAAAAACATCATTCATGGTACATCCATTAATCAGCTCACCATCGATACGAATTTTTTTATTTAAATTATCAGAACTATTTTTTTTATTCAACCAATTAATTTCTGACTGATTTATATCACGATTTTGATCTGTGAACGACATGAATGTCATTTGGTTTTTATTTTACTGTTAAATTTCACTAGCTCGTAATGGCTTCACTTTTCCTATGCAATGACTTGTGAATTTATCTGATCCCAAGGTAACGATGCTTCGCACTTTCTCTAGGCGCCCTTTCACTTTCACACTTCGACGCAATCAATTAAACGAATGGCGTCAAGCTTGGCGGTTGAATTGCTATTCTATTTCTCTAATGGTAAACGATCGATTGCTATAATGAACCATAAGCCATTAGCTATGAAGGTTTATCTTGGAAGTTGATCGATGACGTTCATGCCTATTCCCATGAGATCAATGGGATACGATCACAAGGTAATAAACAATATTTTCCCATGTAACTAATACATGCGTCAAAAGAGCGTTTAAGCAAATACAAATGTATAATTAATTATTTAGAGTCGTAACATTAATATAAGTACGCCCACCGGAAATCGGAAACGAATCAAATTGAATAAGAAATACAAGATACGTTGTCACGCTTGCAACCACCTGAAAGAAAATTTTATTAATTCAATAAACATTGCCAATTGCAATTATATGAAAGTCATTAACAATCATGGTTTACCGAAGTAAGGATGGTCGAGTCAATGGTGAAAAAGCCGTAGGCCGTAAATTCAAATTTTTGATGAGGTTCCTTATAAAAAAAATCTTGAGCCTAGAATGATCAATTTACATTAAACCTTATATTGAGATTTCTCAATGATTTTCTAGATCACTCAACACGTACGACCGCATGGCTATAGAAGTCGATGGAATTCAGGCTGATCTTGTGCACGGTGACGATGACCTTACGCATCTGACGGATGATGGAATTGCAAGCAGCAACAATGCAGATCCATTGAATAGCATGAACAATACTACAATTTAAGTAGTCAATAGCAAGGTTCCTGCAACAATAAAAATAAGCAATAAGATCGTGAGAATTCAATGGAATAACAAGAAATTGTTCCTTTAAAAATGATGTCACATACCAAGCGTTTCGCAGTGTCATGATGGCGACGTAAAGCTCACTCGTAATTATCATGAACGTATAAGAAAGATCGACAAGCATTTGAATTCCAAATGTTTTGTTAGCAATGCCGGCTGCTTCGGTAAGGTCCTGATGAATTTCAGCAGCAATGCGAAGCCTTCTGTAAATAGTGCAATTCTCATGGAACGACTTTCTGACAAAATCTTGTTGCTGGACTTCGGGCAAGATATTCTTGAGTCTTGAATTCAGAATTAGGAACCGATCACGAAGATTAAATAGAAGGTTGACAAATTGCAGGGCAATTAAAATCTTGGTTAAAGTCGCGTACACAGTGAGAAAGTACCACAACGCAACTTTACGATAAATGTGATTGTAGTATGCGCTAAAATGTATCTTGATGAACAGAACCAAGAAAGTAGCCATAACAGTGAGAAGATGATGGATTGAACGTGCGGACGATTTTTTGTAATCCAGTTTGAAATTAAATTCCATCTCTAATCTGTTGTCGATTCGTGCAAGTTCGTCCAAGGAGTTCAGCAGGTCCTTCCTGGTGAAAGGAGTCAATAATATTAGGATGACTATTGTTATTCCACTTCCAATAAGTTTCATGTGCTTTATTTTTCCTTCGACTTTTGTTGTTTGGCTGTAACTGTTGTTCTGTTCGGTTTCAGATTCTGCTTGGAAGGCAAATTCGGTCAGGTAGCTCCAGACGATTACCAGCAGGATGTTTAGCAGAGCGTAGATCGTCCAGGAAAAGTAGTTGGTTCTTTTGGATGAAAGATTTATTGGGCCCATTGACAAGCCAAAGATCCTGGAGATGGCGTTCACCTTGGAGAAACATTTTGTGATTTCAGTCCTGATGGAATCCAAACGTTCTTCATTATTATGCATTGCAAGTAAAGAGAAATTTCTTCTTTTTATTAGTCCTGATTCTGTTTGACACTCTTGATTTTTCTTGTACACGTCACTGGTGATCACATAATTTTCTTCTTAGATATTGGCATGAATCATAGGAATGGGGAACGAGGAATGATGGCTTGATCTATTCTTGCTTTTCTGTATTTGCTACAGTGATGTGTACTAATGGACGTCGTTAATCACCCGAATTGGTTACTGATTTTTATGGTACAAATGGCACTGCTCTGTAGCAAAGAGCGCGTGACATAATGATTATGAAGAGAATAAGGATTGAGTAAAGTTATTTATTGTGCTAAGGTTTGATTTATTAGTTTGAAATCGAGAAAACGATATTGTGTAGCTATCCTCTTTTCACTGTATTTAATGATATTTAGACTCTGAAGTTTTTCGATATTTGTTACATTGCAAAAATATTTAATTACCTGGGTGCTAATTAAGAGAACTTCTTAAGTGCTTGAGTTTAATTAATAATCTGTAGAACTCAATTTGGTAGTGCACTCGGTACGTTCGGATTAAAGTTCTCGAGTTGCATCACAATTACGATGTAGGTAGTAGCAGTACCGATGACCTGAATATACAAAAAGAAAAACAGTTCTCTATTCTTTTCAAAATCCTGCTAAATAGTTAGACTCACCTTTGAAACCAAACTCAGATCAAATTTGAAAAACCCATAAGCTGACAAGTCGAGTCGCCGACGTAACAATTGAATCGAAAATGCGTACACCTATATCGATACTTAAATATTTACCAGATTTTTAAACGTATTTTAAAATTTTTTACAGACAAAATATTACCTGCGTTCTCTGCCTGAGAGGACGTTGCTTATTTGCCATCTCGTGAAGAGCATTTCCGGTATTCCTCGCCTAACGGAAAAGAATAGAACTGTGGGTATGTTCGAACAATGTGAGTTTCCGGAGAAGTAAGAACAAAATTGCGATACCTCCTTCACGGTGCCGTCGACGATACTGCCAATGAAATATTCCTGAAGAATACAAACGATCACGTCAGTAACGTTCACGTACATTGCTAATGGTATATTAATTGAAGATTTCTGGTTCTTTAGGAGTATACAAATCCCATAAATCCTTGTAAGAAGCAGTAGCAGGTGTTGTACGACTGTCTGCAGTATAAAATGAGAAAAAAAGTGGCTGACCGATTCGGCAAGATCACAAAGGAATCCATGAACGAATGCAAAGTCATTGATACTCGTAGAAGAATTAATGGATCTTCCTCGTTCGATAAGTTTTTCGTTTAGACGACGGATCTTCCGTCTGATTGCACTCATCGACACCAAAAATAAAATAATAACATTATGATACACAACGCCGGGCAAACAGTATGAGATCCAAATAACGACATTATACGTGCGATCGCCGGCGAAGAAAGAATATGCAATAATATTTAAAATAAGTAAGAAGACGTTTATCCAAGTCGCATGAACTGTTATCTGATAGATGATCCTCTCGTAATCAGTTGGAATTTCAAAATATTCCCAAACAATTTCGTGTATCTTGAAAAAGTCTCGTAGCATCTTGATGATGTGTTCTTGACGGTAGGCAAAAGTCAGCCAGATGGCGACGCACAGGAAATAAATACAAACCATTTCCATTCCGCTAGCAATAACTAGTAAAGGTGTATCCAAGGGAAAACCATTTAAGAAAAGTAAACGCAAAGCCATCGCGCTGGCAATGCTGTAAGCAATGGCTAGTACAGTCCCGTAAACGGCACCAGCAATAGAAAATTGCAGATCACTTTGATCTTCACCAAGACGAAAAGGAATCAGTCCAATTATACGTCCAAAATAAAGTACAGGCGCACTTAATTTCTTTTTGGTGGACATCTTGTTGCTGTTGAATGCTCTGAAGAAGTGGAGGAACTGTCAGGAAGATTCGTATTTTGATAAATGCAATGAATAATGCAACAAGAAATTAATTGGCATCGATCGGTCAGACCTCTGGGTCAAGGAGTGCATTAACAAATTACGTGGGTAATATATGAGATAAAATAAGGACGGTGCAAGTCTTCCATGTGTGACATTTAATTGATCGAGAGAATAATTAATATGCATTTCTAAGGCGAACATAACAAAATGTGGACTCACTAATTTTGTAATTTTCCTTTTCCATAGATTTGGATCGATACAAAAAACAGATTTTTAAATTTTTTTTCCAGAATAAATATTACCTGTGTCCTCTGCCCAGGAGGACGTTGCTTGTTTGCCATCTCATGGAGAGCATTTCCAGTATTCCACGCCTAACGACAAATGACTTGCACTACAAAGGAATTACATTAATATGGTGAATAAAAAACACGACGTGGATCCACGTCGCATGAACCTCTGTATGGTGTATGATGGTCTTGGTCTTGATGATATCACGATAAGGAATGACCTAAAGTTTAATTAATTATTAAATGACCATCGATTCAAAATTAGGTATGAGAAACAGTAGTAATATAAGAGTGGGCAAGACGTTACAGGAACTTTTGAAAATAGAATTAAAATGATGGGCTGGTGCTGGAATAATAAGCAGATACATAGAAACTTATGTACTTGTCATTAATAATTATGCACAGCACTGCTGTACTTGGCATAATTTTTTTACTCGTTTTTTTTGGGAGACTTAATCATACCGTAGTAATAAAGTAATGATATCGACCATTCAGACCTGTCACAGTAATCGCCAACAGATCACACAGCTAACGCATAGAAGAAGAACGCAGAGAAAATAATGCAAGTCTTCTGTATTTGACATTTGGGTGATCGACAAAATAACCAATACGTATTTCTAGTGTAATCATAAAATAACGTGGATCATCTCAGCATGATTAAGATACCACCTTCCTTGGGTTGCTAGATATAGCATGATCGAAATGATCCAAGGAAACGTTGCTCTTCTATCATTCTCACGTAATATTGATGCAGTGGTGATACACAGAGTAAACCTAGGCAACGTGGCCTACGTTAGAGGTAAAATAATACTGCCGCACGATGGCTCTATCCCCTCCATCACCTCCATCACCCTTCTTCTCCTTAGAGTCGGCTTTGAATACCACGAGAAAAATATATCTCAAGAACTTACTCGAGACTCTGCCACTATGCTTAACGTATGGATATTAGTAAACTAGCGGTAATAAATTAGGCCTTTTGATTATCGCATAACGGCACTGCGAGTAGAATAGTAATTGTATGCTATAAAGGTAACTTGCGAGTGTGCAGATAATGTGTGTATAAATTGTGTCTGCGTGTGTATAAGCATGTGTGTGAACGCGTGGACAATTACTTAGAATAATTCAGTTGCGTTATACGTAATACGTTACACGTAATTTTCGAAAACAACGTACGAAAGTATCTGATTAACATAATTGTGCAAGATCTTATTAGATCGTGACGCCATCTACTTCCTTTACTCCGTTCGTTCTAACAGAATAAAAATCTTTTATGTACGGGCCACTCACGCTTCTTGCGCCATTCTCACAGTGCGCACATGTCTCAAGGTCACTCACTTCCTTTCATTCATCTTGCTAGAAAGATACGTAGATGTTAATCTAAACTCTTTGAAAAATAGGCTTAGCCAATCTAGCTATAAATCATTATGTACACGTTAGGTAGATTTTATAGGCAGACACGCCATCTTGCTCTTGATTATCCTGCTTGTAGTGCCAATTAGATGTGTCCACCTAGAGAACGCTTAACGAACTAATAAATTGCAATGCCGATACTACGATGTGGTTTCCGTGGCACTGGAGGAGCTTGGCAATTGTTGAGGCACAAAATTCACCACCTCGTGGTAGACGAGCTCTGAAATTACACAGTTTAGGTAAAATTGAGATTAGGGCTTTTCTCGAAGATGGAGGCTTAAGATTTTAAACCTACCCTTCCACTTTTCCACGGGCAGATCCATGTCTTCGAAACTCTGATCGTAGGGAAGAGAAAGTGGTTCGTCCGTTGGATCTGCATATTGTGCCAGGTAAGCATGTGCCAAAGCCTGTTCCGCTGTTATTCTTCTCTCAGCATCCAGCTCCAGCATCAGTTCGAGTAACTCTATGGCTGTGAGGATACAAGGCGAAAGATAATTTTTATTTGGACTTTTTCAGCATCGCAAATGGACTTTTCATTCTTTATTTAAAAATACCGAGTCACTCACCTAGCGGATTGGCACCGCGAAAAACGTCTTTGAAATTCTTTTTCTTCAATGGCGGCAAACTCTGTATGTAATTTCTGGCCTGAAAGTAAGTTTGTGTTCGACTCATTCGATATTTCCCAGATAAGGATTGACGGTTTTTCAAGATAACGCGAGCTTCGATTCTCAGCCGGCCGAGTGTGCCTGGCGTCGTCCAATGCGAGACTCGGAAGGGAAACGTTCATTCCGGTAAGAAGAGTACGAAATAGATAGAAAGAATTGTCTAACGTATTTCATGATATTAATTCCGAATTTTCGAGGTGAAACGATCCTATTTACCTCTTGGCTGGTTACTTTGCTCAGAGTCTCCTCGGAGGGAGTGCCGCAAAGCACTAAAACTCGTGTTAGATGATCAATGTCTGCGTAGCGTTAAGGTATCCTTGCATCGAGCTGCCACACGTCGTTTCAAAGTTCGAAATTAATATTAAAAATTAAACTCAAGATCAAAGCGTCCCACTGGGTTAATCGTGCGTGCAGTTAAAAATAACGTGTGCGCGAAGGCACATTAGCCGTTGTATATCAAATAAATTAATCGCGTGACATCTCTTGGGATCGCATTAGGTCATAGGTCATAGGTCATAGGTCACGGAAGTAGGAAAGTAGTTCTTGATTCTTCGTTCCCTCTTTGTTACAACTATCATTCAAGTAATGCATGCAGCATTAAAAATGTCCTAAGGCGTGCAACGGGTGGTGATTCGAGGCGACTTACCGATTCGGATGATATTTTCTGCATAAACTCGTCTCGTGGAGTACCAAGGATTTCCATAATGAGGTTCAGTTGATGAATATCTGCACTTGCTAAGGCTCCGCCACGTTTTATCTCTCTCTTGACTCTCCGGACGCGACGAAAAAGCAAATACAAAACGAGAAATAAGAAATATTCGAAAGCGACTATAATAGAGAATTGATTTTCACATTGAGCAGAGTGCCTCGCGTGTGGACACCCGGTGCGTAGCGATTGCGTGCGAGGTCAGAATAGTCAGCGTTAAGACGAAGCTAAAGCAGTTATGCCGAAATTGTCGAATCGAGAGTAAGAGAAAATTATCGTTCGCAGAACTTGGAGCGTTTGTTAGAAGCAAGCGACGAAGATTAATCGAAGATGAGATTAACGGTTGTCACATGGACATGATGGACGTGGATTAAAACAGGACAAGGACGAGTAATGCTTGTACGAGCGCAATAATATTAAGAAAGGATACGATCGGTTCCTGGGAATAGCGTCCTTCCTGTGAGTAGTTCGGCCATTATGCATCCTACCGACCATATATCAACTGCAAGAAGTCATAATCGACGTTAAACGGTGAATAGCTCTGTGCAATGAACAAATGAATTCTTGCTGGTAATATTTCAAACCTGTCTGATTATAGTGCATCCAGTTGAGCATGATCTCAGGTGCCCTATACCATCTGGTGGCTACGTAACCTGTCATCTCATTTTCAGCTGGTCTAGCTAGGCCAAAGTCTAGAATCTTTAGTTCGCAGTCCTCGTTGACAGCAATGTTCGAGGGCTTCAGATCCTATATGACCAGGTCATGTTGCCGTGACAAGGATCAGAAATCTGACAAGTCCAGATGGTGTTTATCCTTACCCTGTGTATGATCCCAGCAGAGTGGATGTACTTGAGGCCACGTAAAATCTGGTAGACGAGGAATTGGACGTGATCATCGGAAAGCTTCTGGGTCCTGACGATGTTATTGAGGTCGGCTCCCATCAGATGCGTCACCAGGTAGCTAAAATTGTCATTCTCAGGCATTTGCTCGCTCTCTTCTCTGCCGCCCCCGGCGTCGTTATCCAAACTGCCTCGAGATACTCACACGTGCTGAAAATCCTCGAGGGATGTGGAGGGATGAAAGACGTCCAGGAGTCCAATTACCTAATCGGATAAAGTGACGATCATGAGCTGTTTAATCCTGGCTGTCGTAAATAAAATTTGCTCGACGCCAAGCACGACGAACATCAACTTACGTTCTCGTGATTCATGTGCTTAAGCATACGCAATTCCCTGTAGGTTCTTTTGGCGTGAACAGCTGACTGGAACGGTCGTGCCAATTTCTTTATCGCCACCTTCATCCCGTTTGTAGTGTCGACTGCAGAACTGAAATTTCATTCCAACAATTCCCAATTTACACATCGATTTTATAGCGAGAAGTAAATGCTCCTCGGGTGAGTACAAATATTTTCTACGTAATTTAAATAATTCATTTTGAGTCAGACCAAAAAATCAGATAACTTGCTGTACAAAATTATGGCCTACGCCGATGAGAGCACCTTATCTCTTACTCTGATAGATAACGAGACTCTCCTATAATCCGTTGCCATGGTCATCTGATCAAGTAAAAGAGTACGCGCGCCAAAATGAAGATTATTACTCCATCTCTTATTAACATCCCGCTGCGCTGTCTTATTGTGTCGTCGTAGACGATGTCGAAAGTCTCCTGAGGCATACCGCACAACTAGCCACTGGCTAACGGGACGTGTTTGACAGGTGCCAAGAATAGATTGCCAGCGTAATCTTCGTTGACAGACAAAACTAGTTATGGCTCAGAGAAGTAAAGAGAGAGTGAGACAGGAAAATTATTAAACATTTTCACATTACACAGTCTCACTCAAGATGCTCGTGTGGATCACAGAGAACTGGAGAACATCCACAATGATTTCTCTAGTTTGATTTGATACTTGAGTCCCTCTCACGAGAGAATGCACAAGTAGCTGGGCCCACGCACGTAAGAACTATTCTTTCTCAGCTACCTCTTACTCTTTCTTTCTTTTACAGTTCCCCGCTCTGACCCCTCGTCATGATCGTCTTCTTACCAGACTTGGCCGTAGGCACCAGAACCCACAGGAGTAAGCATTTGGTATCGTTCAGGAACCTCCCACTCGGTCCTGTTGATCTCGATTTTATGAAAACGCGGCATCTCGGCGACCTGGAGAACTTCCTATCCAGCCCAGAATGCGAGGAGACGAAGACACTGGCGGAGAACTCGGCTCACAACGACAACCACTGCCAACTTCGGTTCACGGGCACTGCAGCCATCTCCAAATTAGCCTGGATGTACGCGGGTGTGCGCCTGCCTGTGCCTGCGTGCGCGGCCACCTACACGGATCTTTCCGTAGATGCGTGATCGTAGGTGCGTAATGCCGTCTCTTCTCCTCCACTAAAATTTCAGAACTGGTGAGAACTACGTGAGCGACGCAGACGATTGCGCGAGATGGAGCTGCTCTCACAGATGCCGCCACTCCTTTCATCTCATTCCTGAACCCACCTGACCTGGGGTAGGACACTCCTATGTTAAAGACAGAACTCTCAATCTCTGGAAACTTTTATACAGCCTCCCACCCATGAGATCTTTCCCGGCAGGAATTCGTCCCCACCTCGAGGACAGATCTTTCAATTTTGCGTATGGATTACTGGATGTGATTCCTGGTATCCAGGTGTTCCTCGGCGTATCTTTTATACTCTTCTCAGTCTTATATATTTTTCGCAATTTGCCACTCTAGATATTGTCCAGCAAGGATTTTCAATCTCACTTCAATTCTTGATGCTTTACCACTGATGTGTACTTTAATATTTAATAAAAATTGTCATTAGAACTATGAACTTAGGTTTTCCGTTTTTTATTTTCTATGCACATACCAGAGATGATACTCTCAGCGATTGTAGCGCCATAGAATATGGGAAATTTCCAACAGAATGGAACTACCATATGACGCACAAATCTATGCAAAATGTGCTAAAGTGCAACAGTGGACGATCGGTTTCAGTTCATTTATTTTTTTTGGTTACAGTGAATAAACCATAAGCGGTATTGTGCATTGTTGACTGTATTTATACAGTGATAATGTCTGAGGACGAGGTTGAAAGTTTTGAAATTACCGATTATGATTTGGACAATGAATTTAACATTAATAGACCTCGACGTAAACTGTCTAAGAAACAACAGATGCTTGGTACGATATCTGGGATTTTTATATATTTTGTGTCTCTTGATAACGTTTTACTTACATTTTATATTGTCAGGCATCTGGGCTGATGACAGCGATGAAGAAGATGTCCCTGCAAGACCATCGTTCAAATCATACGACAAAGGTCCCAAAAATTATACTGCTCCTGTTAGTTTTGTTGCTGGAGGGATTCAGCAAGCTGGCAAACCAAAAGAGGAACAGTCTAAAGAAGGTACGAAGGATGATGATGACGATGATGATGAGGATGACGATGATGATCAGAGAGGATCTAGAAGAAGAGAGTTTACATTAAATTCATCAAGGTATTTAAGCAGTAAAATATTATGGTTTTGTTAGAGATATTAATGAAAACTGTTTCTTACAGTGATTCGGATACTGGAACCCCTAGAGAAAGTAGATCAAGAACTCAGCAACCAAGTTTTTCAATAAATTTAGACAGTGATGTAGCAGGATTAAGAAGAAAGAAAGCTCCGATCAACCCTCTGTTGATGAAGAGTGGAGTTGGCAGTTGGGAAGTACATACCAAGGGTATTGGAGCAAAGCTTTTGCTAAGAGTGAGTATCAGTTAAAATAACAGAAGGTTTTAACTAAATATTTCAGAAAGTACATTGCAATATAACCAATTTTAGATGGGTTTTGAACCTGGTAAAGGTTTGGGTAAACAGTTGCAAGGAATAAGTGCTCCCGTAGAGGCTCACTTGAGAAAAGGCAGAGGAGCAATTGGTGCATATGGGCCAGAGAAAGTTGCAAAGGTTCCCGAGAAGAAAAAAGATGAGGACATTGAAGAAGCTAAGGCTTTCAAAGCTAAATTATCCCAGTGGCGAAAGGGTGGTGAGGCTGGTACTGTTAGTAGCAAGAAACGGTCTCGTTATGTTTATCGAAGTGTCGACCAAGTACTAGAAGATGGAAAATCGAAACCAGAGAGAAAAGTTCCTACGAGCAGTGAGCTTAGTCGAGTCAAAGTGATAGACATGACAGGACCAGAGTGTCGTGTGTTGAGTGGATATCATGCTATAGCTGGTGGACAACGGCGTCCTGACGAAGGAACACTGACTACGGATAGCAAGACCAGACTAAATTTCTCACTGCCAGAATTACAGCATAATCTCGACCTTCTGGTGGACATGTGTGAACAGGATATTATCAGAAATGATAGAAGAACCAGATATCTTAATGATCGTGTAGTTGCCCTTGAGGCTGAGAACAAAAATCTGACAAAAGTGGTTGATCGACATGGACAACTCATTGTTACCCTAGAAAACGTCTTGGCTGTTGTCGATAAATTAACTGATGACTCCAATGATCTCTCCCTTGAAGAAATTGCAATGGCTTTTAGAAACTTGCAAGATTCTTACTACGAAGAATATAAAATGTATGAACTAGGAGAATTGGCTGGCAGTTTAGTCAGTGTTAAAGTCAAGGATAAGTTAGCTACGTGGAACCCTCTTATGCATCCCAAGGAATATATGGAAGTATTCAGTGAATGGAAGGACATTTTGGAAACTGGAAGAGGAACCCTGAGTCACTCTCAGACTATGCATCCTTACGACAGACTGATATGGACTGCATGGATGCCATCAATCCGTGGTGCAGTACAGTAAGTATTTAAATATTTTACAAAAGAAAAAACCTATAGTACCGTTTACCCATAGTGTAACACAGAGCATTCATTTTTTATTTTCTAGACAGTGGATTTCTAAACAACCAGATCCTTTGATTGAACTCATAGAATATTGGATACCCTTACTTCCCAGTTGGATTTTGGAAAATATAATAGACCTTCTAGTATTACCTAAACTCACTTTAGAAGTCGAAGAATGGAATCCATTAACAGATACTGTCCCGATCCACACCTGGATCCATCCTTGGCTTCCATTGATGCGTAAGTTCATCTATGACTACTGACACATTTCAGAATTCTAACTATTAAAGAACAATTTTAATGTAATAATAGGTAATCGTTTGGATTCTCTTGTCTATCCGATAATCCGGAGAAAGCTTGGTTCAGCAATGGGTGGTTGGCATCCATCTGACAGATCAGCTAGACTGATGCTGCAACCTTGGGTTGATGTATTCGATAAGGGTGACATGCAAGCTTTCCTAGTGAAGAATATAATACCAAAACTAGAGGACGCGTTATTACAATTAGACATAAATCCTCATCAGCAGCATCTGGATAAATGGAATTGGGTTTATGAATGGAAAGAAATGTTATCGGTCCATGCGATGGCTGGGCTGCTTGATAACCAATTCTTTCCTAAATGGCTACGTGCTTTGGCAATTTGGTTGAGTCACATGCCAAGTTACGAACAAGTTATTAAATGGTATATGGGATGGAAGAGTATGTTTAGTGAAAAATTATTAGATGAACCTAGGATCAAAGGTTGGTAGGTCGGGTGATCTACTAGAAGACTCATAGCGCACTGATGGAATTTTATACATTAAATTTTTTTCTTTTTAGATCACTTTAAAAAGGCCCTAGAGATGATAAGGAATACTCTAGTTGAACCTCAAGCTCGACCACCAGGACCAATTGAACAGGTTCCTTACATGACGAATTTAGATCAAATGCCGTCCATGTCTCAAATACCAACAATGGCGCAACAGAGATTTGTATCGCTTTCACGAACCATGACGCAGACTCCTAGAGATTATAAAGATTTTGTACAAGAAAAGTGTGAAGAGCGCGGTATACTCTTCATGCCTATTTCAAATAGATATAAAGATGATAAACAAGTATACAAACTCGGAAACGTGCAAGCATATATTGACGGAGAAATGCTCTTTGTATCTCGTGGAAGTGGAACTTGGGCACCGATACAATTAAATGCTATCCTGGAAATGGCAGAACTTTGAGAACCGTATGTGTAGATGAGGCTCCAATAAACGTCACGCAATGTGCGATTGGAGGGGATGCATCATTTCAATTTTATATACTGATTGTGATAGTTGTGGGATACCACGTCTTCTATTTATTTCCGAAAATTTGTATGTCAATAACAAATCAGGTTCCAAGTTGTACAGTTAATAGACAATGTGTCTTCTTTACAAAGATGTACAAATATTATTACTTTTTCCTTGAGATAGTTTTCTCTCTTTATGTCAATGCTTACAGCAGTCAGATATAGATTATTGTGAACTATTTCTTGAATGTTTTATAAAATATATTAATTCTATAATATTTATTTGTTTATATTAATTTCTCTGGATTCGAGTGACTATCTTCAGTTTCAATACTGCTGAATCTTTATTTTATTCCTTAGTTCAAAGAACTATTGATTGTCAAATTAAGAATCTGTCTATCTACAAGTGATTTTAATATAGTTTAGGTGATTTCAAACCGAGATGCTTCTAGAGAAATACCATTATTTCAAAAGATTGATTCATCTAGATAATCAATAGTCCTTTGACACTATTTTCCATCCTCTTCCATACTTGTTTTTGTTACTTTTCCTCGTTTATCTGTTGGTATCTCTCCTGCAAGGAGTAAAGTGGAAAGTCTTCTAACTCTTTTATCGGTGATACCATGAAAGAACATAAAAACTCTCTTACAAACACGTATCCTAGTATCACTGTTGTACACATAATATTTAAAATTACTACTCCGTTTCTTAGGCACAGGTTTCCTGGGCTTTCGTTGTTTAATTGAATCTGTTTCTATAAGGCCTTGCAAATAAATATCTTGTTCGTCCTTAGTCTTAAGCTTCTTAAAGTCCCTTACGAAGCTCATGACCATGTCATCACTTATGCGATTAGAACAGTGTAATCTGCAACTAAGATAACAAAAAGAGTATACATGTATAAAATTATGATTTTTAATTGAATCTACATGGTCATGTAACTTTACATTTAGATCAATTTTGCAGGTAACAGACTATGTAAGTACCATTAAGTAAAATAATAATAACAGAAATAGCCCTAAAATTATTTACCCACAACCATCATCATCGTCATGTGTTAAATTATTTATATTCATTGTCACAGTTTCGCTTGTCATTTTTCTCACACGATACAATTAGAAAAAGTACAAATAAATACTCCTAAGACCTTAGTCAGTCTACCATCTTGAAAACAATCACCTGTCGGTAATCGCGCAACTGGAATAGGACATTGCCAGGAAGTTAGCGCCAAAATCATGTTCCTCTTCTCAAACGTTGCACGACTGGTTCATTTTCTGTAAATTCTGCGCGTGTTACACCTGTGTTCGAAAATGAATCGAGACAATGATGCTCGCAGCACTCTGAGCTCATCTTCGCTTGCAATCGAGCTAAGGGAAAATAAAATTTTTACTTGTTATTTAAAGCTGCTTTCATAACATAAAAAACGAATTGCGGAGTAAAACGGAGCAAATCGAGAGCAATTGATTCATCAAGAAAATCATATAAAACTCTGTTTGATTATTTGGAATAGCAATAAAAAAATGTTTTTATTTTAAAGAATATTTGTTAATCATTGCATAATAGCAGCGGAGCAACTACGAAAACATAAAGAGCATTTAAAAAGCAATTGTTTATGCATCACAAACATATAAACATTTATTCGACGCTAATTTCCCGACGGTGAATAGGAGTTTTATAAATAATCATGTTCCTTTGTAGAACTGATAATGTTCAAATCTTAATAATAAGCAGCTGCCAACTGGCCAGAATCTGCAAGTGTAAGGAAGCTTTATATAAAATTGACCAAGAGGGCGTATTCCGGAAACATAAGCACGCAGTGCCATCTAACAGAGTTATATTAATTCGTAGTTGCAAATAAATAAAAAATATAAACAATGAAAAGGAAAAAAAATCAGATAATTTCATTCTAAATAAATTCCGGTTCCTCCTCAGCAGTCGACACTGCCATAATTATAATTCCAGTTCGTCGTGTGTTATATAAAAAGCGCCAAACGTATCCCTAAATTTATAAAAAGTAATCATTCCATAAGATTCCTCCCACATGCATGCAGTCCTTTTGAAATTTTTCATAAATTATCATACATTACCATACGTATATTTAATAATGTCACGCGAATTATCATATATTCCGACACACGTAATCTCCCAGTTGGCTGTACGTACTAAAGTTGTTTTTGTTCGTATTCATTTTTAATACCATATGACCATAGTACTAAGGAGATCGTAAAGGTCGTATATATCAGAATAACATGCCAGTAATTATTAGCTAATAAGCGTTCGCTTAGAAAGCATATTGACCTAGGCCATTAAGGTCCGGTTGTTCCTACATGATTTCCATGTTAAGCGATACTTCAATTTCAACTTCAATAAAAATTTACTAGATAATTGATTGGTCGTTAATCAATCTGCCACTTAAATTTTATGTCAACTACTGCACCCGGAAATGCATATACTGTTGTAAAAGGCTATAAAAACATATTTTAATCGTAAAACAGTAGAACTAAAAATTAACGAGTGCCCGAGGCGTTATCACAGTCTGATCAGACAGAATAAACCAATCGAAGGAGCATGATTCTAATTGATCGGATCAGCTCGTGCACCTGGACAAAGTTGTGAAAGCTGCTTAATGGTGCACTATCGTTTAGCAACTGGCTGCGTGCAACGTGTAGGCGCCGTGAGCCAACCGCCACCAACGGCGATAATGGCAAAGCAACAGCGTCGCTAGCGACATCATCTCGCCTAGGTGCGCAGCTTTAAAACTCAATATGGAAAGTCGCGCTTGATTCTCTTGAGAAGAGGCAGCCGGTTCAGGAGGTGGACTGAGGTGGACTGGTCGCCACTGCGAAGGATGGACGTTCCTTGCTCGCCCACGCGCGGTGCAGATCTACACGGCGTGTTCCTCCAAGGCGTTGAGTAAATTTGCATCGACTCCGTACTGCTTGCTAACCACGGTTATCTGGTTCCGGTTCTACGGGAAGTCGAGAAGCTTAAAACATAATCTAAAACCTGAGCATGCCTACAAGAAAGAATTGATCATATTAGATCTAATGATTCACTTTGCCAGTTCCAGGATCCTGAAGTAGAGGCGTGCATTAGGCTTAGAATCCTTTCATTGGTTCCTGGAATCACAATCTCCTCGACATGCCTGTAATCCGTGTTCCACATAGCATAGCCGTAATAATTGCCAAGGAAGGATCTGTCGAGGTTCATACAATTTGCATATACAGAGTGTCCGATCCGTGCAAGGAGCTTGCGTGACCAGGGATTTCATTTGTCTGGGATCATCCACGAATCTCATGAGTATCAGGTAAACTGGTAAATAAATTCATAATAGAAGAAACGTACGAGAAGAGTCGAGGATAGTCTATGCCAGTTCGTAGCGAGTATAATATCTATAAATAGCCTGCGGTTGCACCGGTCGTGTCGTGTCAATGCGGCTCTGCAACTCGTTTGCCATTTTTACGAAAGTCAGCGTACCGGCAGGGTTGGGACTTGAGTTAATTACACGATTCGCTTTGGGCTTCTGTGGAGAAAAAGAAAAAAGAAAAGAAATTGTTAGGTGTCAGTAAAGGCGATATTAATGTGACTCTAGTAGGACTCAGCGATACTTACACGTTGCACCGTCACGTTCAGCAATGCTCGGTCAGTCTCGTGTTTTCTCGCAAAACTCGCTCGCGCCCCCGAACATTCCAAACCCACGCGGATTGGCCGTTTATGCCCTCAGCACTGTGTTCTCCGATAAAATGACGCCGTATCGGTAACGCATGCGAGTTTTCGCGCCAGGCATATATTCCTGGTACGCGTAATAAGTTCATATGTAGTACATAAGTTCACTCGCGTATTGGATGCGTTTCCGTGCGTGTCTAACGCGATGATTTAAAGTGCAGATACCGTTCCGAGAACCGGAGGAGTCATCGGAAAGAATTGCGCAAGCTTAGTTTATCGTAGAGTCTCTTATCTGGTCATTCATCGACGCACGTGACCATCCTTTCATTCAACCAGCCGTTCAACCATCTAATGGTTCATCCGTCCATCCATCGTTTGGCTTGAGCCGAACACCTGGTCTCTAGATGACCGTGCCTTTGCTTCCTTTCTGATTTGGGATAGGCTCGGGCGGGATACAAGGTATCGAGCCGAGGCACAGAGCCAGCCTGAAGTTGATTGCGAGCTGAGGTTTTGAGTATAGTCCAGTCAGGACGCCCACACTGTTCAGAGATCTCTACAGGACGGCCAAGCTGAGGTGCGCCGCGACGTTTAGATCGGGAAAACCTTGGCGATATTTCATGGACGCATAACGCGTACGCGCCTATCTCAGGATAGCGGATAGAGACCAGGCTTCAGGCAGGCAACAAGTCAGCCAGACTATGACCCTCCTCCTCGGCGCAGTAATTCCTTTTATTCGTCTTTTGGTATTATCCGCAAGGCCAGGATGTTACCATGATGCTTCGCCAACGTCGTTTGTACCTGGTACAAGATCTTGAGGTCAGCAGCGATACGGTCCAGCGAAACTGAGTACGATCGGGACTCTGTGAATAGGTACATAGATGAGTACCAAGTACAGAAAATCGTAATAATAAATTAGAGGAAAAAAAGAGATGCAAAACTACCAAGAATCAACGATGCAAGCTAGAGTTCATCCATCGTGTCTCGCGCAGCAGCGGGAGGTTTGGAGGTGGTTGGAACCTCATGTAAAAAAGTTTCAATATCACGGATGAGCGCGCACGGTCGACGTACGAAGCAGCAACAGGTGCCAGTCGCGCATGCGGATCACCAGGCGTCGTGATGCATGCCGGAGATGATCCCGCGTCGCTCGAAGAACCGCGAATTCACTTGGTCCCTGGAGCAATTGCGAGTTCAGCAGTCGCGCAGCGCCCTCTAACGAGTAATGACATCTGGCAAAGGGCGGGGCCTATTACCGGGGCTCCCACGCGGTCTTCACTCGCCTGTATACACCGGGTACGGTTCCACCACCATCATTCACCATCACCGCCACAATCATCATTACCATCCTCTGGAACCACCGGCATCATCCCTCCCTCGCAGTCACCAGACGTATAGCTAACCAGTCGCATGGTAACGTATAGGTACAACTGGTTACTCTCGTGCGCTCTTTGACACTCGTGAACTCCTGGCAGCAGCTGGAACCGGTAGCGAGGATGGGTAGCAGCGTAGAGCAAATCCGTACGGAAGAGTCGATTACCTACGAGCAAAAGGAAGGAACGGTTAACAGTCGATAAAGCAGCGAGAAATAAGTCTTTTAGAGTCTGGCAAGAAGATATTTTTTTTCCCAAGGATAATCCTTGTCCAGGAGGTCGGCACTGGACTGATCATAGCAAATGCATCGATGGAAGGGAGCGCGCGCGGCCCCCCCACGCCCTCTGTGCTCGCTCGGTCTCTCCCACTCTTCTTCTCTCTCTCTCTTTCCTCTTCCCGTCTCTCGTTCTCTCTCACTCGCGGTACGCTCGCTCGCGTGCTCGAGAGCGCGAGAACAAGACAAGACGCCAAGACCGTTCCAGCCGCCCGCGCACTGGACCGAAAGGAACCGAAGCCGACCGAGCGCGAACCCAAAGCCAAACGCATAGTTAGCTCGAATCGCGATCGCGCGATGCACGTCCGCGCGCACCTCCTCCGCGAAGACGGCTTTGAGAATCACGCGTCACACTCGTAGAGGACGAGTCGGCTTGTATTAAAAGTTGTGGCGCGACGAGCGACAATGCGTCTTTTCGCGCCTCGTTCAACCTGAACGCGTTTAACGTCGACGTTATTGTGCGCCTTGTTCATTTATGCTTTCGTACCGTCGACGTCCCGTCGTTGCAACCAGGATCGTTGACGATATTCTTCTTCCTTGTCGGATCGTGATAAACCAACTATAAATCCTCGTGACTCTTCCATGAGGAATTTCGATCATTGCGTGTAGTGCCTTCGTAGTTTTCTTGTGCTTCCTCCTGTAGCTGTCTCTGTCTGCACGCAGGAAGCAGCCGCAATACGGCCCGTTATGGATCCCTACCCGATGGTAAGTTTTGCTTGTGTTTTAAGTGACAGAAGTTTGACCATTTTTCGGAAACCAGCCGGTAGAAGCTGGAAGCGACGGTGCTTCGCGAGATGGAAGCTGCGACTTAACTAGGAGTAAAAGTTTATTGTTTTTCCATTCCTTTTGGTGGGATCGAAGCAGCAGGTGCGCATGCGATATCCTATGCGAGCAACAGGGCTGATTTCTAGCAAGTAAAATATTATCAGGAGAAACAATAGTATCGATAGATCGCACTGCCGCTTGATAAATCGTGACAAATCTCAACGACTTCATCGCGATGTCGTATTGCCATATGGGAGCAGTATCTATTTTTAACGGGGTAGTTACCGTGTAGCACATCGTCCAAGGTTATCGCGGGACACCCTGCATCTTCTCAATCAGTGAATTCCCTTTTTGCAGATGATTGAACCTGCAAAAAATTAGTATCAGCACGTGCACTCTTCGATGCATTGTATTTTTTCCCTTGTATTTAAAGAAAAAACGCAATGCGATACTTTTCAGAGATTTACCTGATCGCTAAGAATAAAGCGCGTGCCTATTTTTCATCGAGGAACCTTCCACGTGTTATTGCAATTTCTGCAAGCGACGTAGAAATTAGTAAGATCATGAGGTCCTGAGAAAAGCATCCAGATTTCCCTTGTAGCTAGGTCTCGTCCTTGTCGTTGAAGTATCCTGCACGTTGTCTTCGGCGGCAACAGCACTGGTGGCCCTGACGGTAGTGGCGTCGGTAGCAGCAGTGCAACTGGTGGAATGCGCCATTTGATGAATGAAGATGAAGCGGACGAAGAGGACGGGACGGGACGGTTAGTCGGCTGGTCTGGCTGGCGTCCCCTGAATGGGACCAGTCCTCCAGTGGATCCCTTGTAAAGGCAGGCGTTCTCCAGAGCGTCGTTCCATAGAATAGCAATAGATGTGTTTGACAATGGAAGAGCATTTACAATTCAGTGCTTCCACGTTAACAGTAAAAAAAGAAATTGGCAAAAGTTATTTAATAGCTCCGGAGAGATAATAAATTAATGTAGACCATGGAAGTTGGTAGGCAATTCGACAAGTCTTCCGGTAAAAAAAAAAATGTCGATCGAAACCCTTGCTCGGTGGCCCGTAGTTGGTAACTCTGAGAATGACGTTAAAACGACGACCTGGGTGTGGTACGCATGGAAATAGATCAGAGCAGTACAGTTGTTACAAGGATCGGCGCTGGCTCTATGAGTTGAATCGAGGATGTGAAAAAATGACCTGGTCCATCCACCCGGAAGATCCTTACCTGAAATTGTTACCGTATAATTATCATTTGGAATGTCAATTAATCTCATGGCTGCTCGGCTTACCCACTTTGTCTTCCATTGGGCGTTTCACGATGCGTCTGCGGACTTAGTGTGATTTGATACGACGTTTAGCTGCTCCCGTTCGCTTCGTGTCTCCTCCATCATTCTTAATTAAGACGGCGGGCATGACAATCCCATTTGACTATCTCAGCCGAATCTCGCTCCGGCGTCTGAGCTTGCTCGGCGTTTCTCTTTTCTCACTTCGACATTCGGAGTAAGAACTACCGTGGAATCCAGAAGCTGATCCTCATCGCGACGATCATCCTGACCACTGGGTACTCGTGACAGCGGGTTCTGCATCGTTCTGTAATTTATTTGATAATAATAAGACCAACTGGAAGTCTCCGGACGTAGATCATCGTACCCATTAAATTTTCACCCATTGATCAATGATCTAATGCATTTTGAATGAGCTACCAAATAACGAAGGTATTGTGAACTGCTGATGGCTTTCTTGGTACCTGGTAGAGATCCTCGCCCCTGGCATATTACTGTGGTACTCCTCGCCAAGCTCTATAAGTCAGACTGCTTGTTAATTCGGAGAGAGGCTGTAATTTCTTAGGAGTGACTGTGTAGCACCGTGAACAGCGTTGCTCGTGCTTAGATCATTTTTTTATCTTGTCTGGATCACTTTTCTAATGTCGTCGCGATCAGATCCCGAGCTCGGATAGATCAAGGAGGCGTCAGTGAGATCTGTAAAAAAATCAGATAAAAAATATATCATCAAAGATGTTGATGTTTTGAAAATTCAAAGTTTTCCTCCTGAGCTTACACTTAGATCTCTTCCTTGGTACCCCTGCTGACTCTTGAGAAAGATCAAGATGATCCACAGCGAGCAAAAAGATCGACCGATCCAAAGGGTTCCTTTGGGTCGTAGGTGGTCAGCGCTATCGATAAACAGAAAACGTGCAGGGACGAATGCGTCGCGACGCGTGGGTGTCGTTATTTTGGTTCTAACCTAATTCAGTAGTTCTAGGGTTACGTGGTGCCGTCCTAAATATAAAATCTAGCGCAGGCCTTCGCTATAAAATGTGTAAATACGCTGAGCCTTATTGCGGATCTAAAGTTTAGATTTGAACGTGCACGTGATTTTTCTAAAATATCCAATGACAACGATCGACGATCCAAGAGGTGTCCGATAAAGCGTAAAAGTCAGCAATCGTCTCGATCGTCCATACAGGAAACGCTTTCACCATGAAAGCTCCCCGTTAAAAAGTCTCAGTAAAGTATCCAGCGACAGCGACATTAGCGCCACGTTCCTTTCTCCGTGGCGGCTTATTGTATTAATAGTAAGCTTCGAAAGTTTATTTTTACATTGCAGTCACTCTTTGTGATGTTAACCCTGCAAATTATCCGAAGTTACGTAAGACGTTGACTCGCCAAAAAGATCCTATGGCTACGTAATCTCCACAGTGGGTCCGACTGATGGACAGATGGATGAGCGATGGACATTGATGTGGACGAGGAGGAAGACGATGATGATGATGATGATGTTCCTAATAGCGTCCAAGAGATGGAGTTCAGTCATCAGAGTAGAGAGAGAGGAGAGAACGGCAGGTGATAGCTGGTAGGAGTGGCAATGCGAACGCAATGGGAAAGCTGCCAATCACGATCGCGAATTACATGTTCCGAGATCGATATGCATCCGGTATAGGTGGATGCATTACATACGTGCATGCGCCAAGCGGTATATAAACATACAGATACGCAATGAAAAAGTAATGGAAGCTAACGGTCGCGACGTCTATAGCGAATAAAGATTTGATTGAAGGTAAAAAGATCTTGAATCGGTGTTACCGGTTTCCGGTAAGCAACGAATGAGACGAGAGGGGCGGTCAGGGTCTCTTCAGCAATGGCCGACTAATTCCTGGCCAAAAGCGACACCCACGTGGTCGTACGAGCTTGGCCGATCGGTTGTATGAAAACATCAGTGTGTGCTACCCGGATATTTCGCTTTGCCGGTTGCTGGATTCATCTCTCGTCTCTCTCATCTTCTATTCCTCTCCCAGTCTGTCTATCGCTGATACGAAGTTCTCTTTGTACGGAGAGCAGCCGTCCCCTTCGAAGCCGTCGTGTTCTCTCCTCCTAGGTAAAATCGCCGATCCTGCTCGTGCATATGTGCCGGAACGTGGAGGCGTACTCACATTATATTCCTTATAGGTTAAACCTACCCGCCCACTTGGCATGTCCCAATACCTGGCAGCGATATGTCAACAACTACTTTCGACTCGGCGAGTTCGAGCCTCGAGTTTTATCGCGACACGTACGTCCTATGGAGTGACGTTAGCCGATTACAGGTAACGTGTCGACGTGACGACGCGTGACAGCTAACAGGAATTGACCTGGGGGTATGTTTATCGGGATCCTGACGCTCGCAGAGTGTAACCGAGTCGGATCCTGACACGTGATCAGGCATAAGCGATACTTTAGGCTCTAACGACGAATTGAAAGGGAATCTGACTCCCATACGACCCAGGATCATACGAAGTACAAGAAACACGCCGCGTCTTCACGAACGCGTTACACGCCTTCCTTCTAGCTACGCTTTTCGTTCGAGCTTTAAATATAACGTCGCGGTCGCATCGTGCAGTCGCGGCGAACAGCCACGCTATTACGGAGCACCTCGCGTACCACGGCGCACCGCCCGATATGGAGCAATCTCAGATTTCCATCCGCCCAAATCGAGAATATACGCCCGCGCCAGCGCTACATCCGCCGTCCGCCTCTTCCTTCGGGAGCCTCTTCCCCTTCTGGAGCAGCGCGCTCTGCCCTATCGAGAGGAAGAGAGAGGGAGAGAGAGGGAGAGAGAGGGAGAGAGAGAGAGAGAGAGTCGGGGATGACGGTGGCACGCCACGGGAGCAACAGTGCCAAAAGTGCCTCAATACCGTCGACTCTGCAGACCCTTTTGCACCGTCTAGGTCTCTCCTCTCCCTCTTCTCAATCCCCCCCTCGCTCCTTCTTTCCGTCTCTCTCCTTCTTCTCCCTCCTCGCCACCCTCTGTCTTCTTCTTGGACACGTTTCCTTCCTCTTGTCTTCGCACGTCGCCTCTTGCTCCATCCTCTCTTGTATTCCTTACACGAAACGATACGGTGGTCGTACAGTGTTTCTCAGGATGCAGACATAGTGCATCCTTAGGTTGGATCCTACCTTGCAGTCCTCTTGTCTTCTCTCTCTTATCCTCCTTCCTCTCTATAGATGCATCCTCTACCTTTTCCACCTCCTTGATCTCCTCCATTTCTCCTCCTGCCACTGCTTCCTCTTCCATTCTTTCACTTTCGTCTTACTACTCCTTCCCTTTTCTCATCTATAACGCTATTGGGATCATCCTCGTCCCCGTCATCGACGTCGTCCTCTTGATCTCTTTGGTACTTCTGGTGTCTACCGTGTCGCGTCGCGTGCCGCCTTAACAAGTGTCTTCGCAGTGTCAAAGAGAAAGAGATTAGGATCCTGTAGGGTGACAGTGAAAGGACTCTGGTGCTCTGTACCTGCTTGTACGGTGTGACCCTTAGTGTCTTGATGATCCAAGTCATGGACCTGGTGCAAGCTTGATCCCTCTCGAGGAAGACGTCCCAGATCAGAAAGCAACACCACCGTTTGGTCGATCGCTACGTTCATGTTGCCGGAAAGCAGCTTTCCCATTACAGGTAAATCCCATTGCGATGCTCGTCCCGTCTACGTCCTTCCGAGTCAATCAATGGCTGGACTCTCGGCGGATTCTGCGTTCCTCCGCGTCTCCTGGATCTCTGTTAACACAGGATGACTGTCAGGCGCTTGCTCGAGCACAGCGGTAAACTCTAAATAGACTTGCGGTAATTGATCACTGGAATACGCTTCATAGAATTCAATTAGAAATACACGTCTAACGACAAGGGAGTGTACTAGTGCGAGTCCACGATGACTTAAGGGTATCGAATTAAAGTGATTAAGGTATATGAGAAAACAGCTATGTGGAATTTGTAGACTCATAATCCCAAATATGGTGTGAGAAATTTGAGAGAGCCAAAAATAGTGGCGCTACGCCAACATCTAAAAATAGCTAAAAACTAAAATGTAGTAAGGCATGCCCGGCTGCACGGTTCTCCGATCGCGCGAATATTAATGACGATTACTCTTGGATTGTTAATGATGAACATGAGGATGATGATACCGTCTTCCGTGACGAAGGTCACGAGCACCTGGTTCGTAATGACGGGAACATGAAATTCTTCTAAGAGGAGACGATGAACCTGATACCAATGAAAACGTGTTAGCAGGCCACTGTGCTGACGATACGTACTCTAGGTAATGACGGGGGTCAATGATGTCAATGACGTTTCGTGTTACTCAAACGTAGGGAGACGCGAGTCAACCTGGGTAAGGGACGAAATCCGATCGAGCAAGTCCAAGTAAGGTCGAGTTGTTGCGGGTGCTGCCTTGGTGTCCACGTCTATTTCCGAGCGAGAATATTTTTATCCGCCGGCAGCGGTGTAAACGCGGCATAATGTGCTCCTCCTTTCTTTCTCGCGCTTTCGGTACCTCGCGCGCAAGGCGCACGCCATTTCCATCCACCGACTACGGAACGTCATCTTGATCATGAAGACCCTCTTGACCTTTTCAGCCGTGTTCAGGTACCGGCAGTGGATGTTACTGTCGATCTGCCTAGATTATTCGCAAAGACAGCTGTTGGCTGTTGGTCAAAAAAATAAGTCAATTAATAGAAGTAAAAAGTGTCGAGCGTTAGTATGCTTTTGACTGTACACAACGCGCAGGCGTTCGGAACTCAAATTCTAAAAATCATTGTCACTCTTACGCTATCGTAAACTTGGCTCCATTGCTTCGTCCGATTTTACCTTTCTCTCGTTTTACATTCTCGTATTCTATTTGTACTATATTATCTATCGCTTGTTCCTTTTGCACTCTCCAAATATTCACAGTATTTGTATACACAGTCATCCTTCTGCAATTGTACGTTGCTGATCGGTGGAAAAGCCAAGACACCTGAGAATGGGTTCCAGTGGTTAATTCGTAGTACCAGGTCCAAGTGAATGGATTGGATGAACAAGTAACGAGGTAAAAGGATGAAGTATTTACCAGGAAACTCCTGCTTGTGTCTTCAGGGGGTATTATGCAGACCGAGGAAGTCGTGCCTAGTGCTCGGTCTACGGGGGTAGAGTCCTCGCCAACGGACGACAGCTCGCATCTGCAGCAGCATCATCCCCCGTTGCACCATTCGACGCAGGTGCGAGGTCCGGTGTCACCGAATTCTCTCCGCATGGCTGTAAAGCAGGAACCAGCCCCGGAGGACGAGGATGGGGACGAGGAGCAACGGACACTCTCGAGCGAGAGGGATGCCGTGAGTGTTCACGGGTGAGTCAACGTCCTGGCCTATCCTGAAACTTTACGGATTGTAGGGTTCGTTCCTGATGAAGACTCTGGATGATCTTCTTGACAGTCCTCAGGTGCAGGGTGATGGGATGCAGATTCCCATGAGCTTTGCCACGATTCCCACTGCGCCGACACCGTTAGCACCACTGACGCCGCCGACGCCACCGACCCCGACTTCCGGAACGCATGGTCATCGGCAGATCAATGGCTTCGAGGAGAATGCTCAACAGGTTCCCCATGACAATGGTGGCGGCAAACCCAGGCCCAGGTGAGTCTCTTGTACCTTTAAATGTAGAACAGTCTTACATTAGTCAATTATGGATGGCGCGCAATGCTCACCGGCCGCTATGGGATATCAGTCTGGTGACTGCACGATCAAGCAATTATTGGAACACAAGCCTGAGCCGATGTGTTCTCAAAGTGAGCTATCGAAGGTGTTAGTTGGCCGCGCTAGCGCGACGGTGCATATTTCCAATTGCTATTAAGGTGTGGCCGGAATGCAGTAATGGACGAGTCGCTTTGGTCAAACGGTTGTGTGTATCGCGGCAACCATGAGATTCTCCGAACGGTTCATCCTTGTTTTGGTTGCAGTCGCGGGCGCAGGAAGTCACGGTGGAAGTTGAAGTTTCATCACCAGGCACTGCCACCGGAGTACCTTGATCATTACGAGGCAGCTCTTGCTCAGGAAGCCTTGAACGCGAGTCCATCGTCCATTCCTGAGTCGACAGCACCGAGTCCAGCACCCACGGCTTCGACTACGGCCTCAGCCTTCGCATCAATTTCCGTTTCCACCTCCACTCCTACTCCCAGTTCTATCTCAACCTCGACGTCAACTTCAACGAAGACTTCGAGTCCTGTAGCCGATGTTCACGGGTGGCTTCAGCGTATCGCCACGATGCAGCAGGAACTCTGCCCTATTGTGCTGCAACATCAAAATCAATCTCAGTCCCATTCTCATCAACACCAGCAACATTATCAGTCTGCCGATACCTTACCAGCTGCTGCGTCCAGGAGGTCTGTCATCACGTCGACCTCGCACTCCTATCCGTCGCACCACAGCACCCATCACTCTCAGCATACAGCGCACTCGCAGCAGCATCATCATCAGCAACACCATCAGCAGCCGACTCCCAGGCCGCCAATGAAGTATTCTGATCTGCCTTACATGGGGGAGATAACGCTGGACAATAGTAAGCCGCGCCGAGGGCGAAAGCCGAAGAAAGCCGACATCTGCCACCTCATCTACAAGAACTACGGTACCATATTGCCGGGTACACCTGGTCACGAGGAGAAGAAGCAGCCGGTGAAGTCAAAGCCTGAGAGCCGTACGGAACATCATAATCATCCACAGGTGTCTTTTCAGCGGACGGATATTCAGAACAGGATCAGCAGTCTCCTGGAGAAGCGTCTTACTCAGGAGTCCAGGAGAAACCTTGCCCTCGCGGAAAGCCTAAAATTATCGGAACAGGATGAACCGCTCAATCTCTGCATTCGTGATCTCAATCAGCTCAAGATACGATTGTTACGCAAGCACGGAAACGTCTACGAGTCTGGTCAAGTAAAAAGCGAAGCCTCGAGCGACGCTGAAGAAGTCGAGTGCCTTGGCAGTTCATCTTCGCCGCCTATTCTGCTCGATGTCCAGCGTTCCAGTGATCCCCTTATCTACGGAAATCATCATCATCATCATAATCATCACAATATACATGGTCATAATCAGCATGCAAATAATAACAACGCTAGCGATAACAACAACAGCAATAGCAGTAATAACAACGAGGAGTGTACAGGATTTCCTCAAAATCCCGGTTTCGTCTACTGGCCCAACGCTGGTGTCTTTATTCACCCAATGGCGCTACAATCACAGTTCCTCTATTATCAAAAAATGGCACAAGCTGACAAACCTTTTGGTTGCGTCGAGCCAACGCCTAAAGAGCAGAAGATCGTTCCCAAGTCGATATTCTCAATGCTGGATGGCGGAAAGAGTTCGGGTGCTCCAGTAGGTTCTGGAACGTTGGCACAGTTGTCGCCCTCTGGAACGACGCCAACAACAGGACAACCACAGCCGACGCCACCAGCATCTCTGTCAGGTTCGTCGCCAATAGCAGCACCGGAATCACCAAGGCCGAAGAGGAACGCTCCTCTGGGTCATCAAAGTCAGTCCCAGCCGACAAAACGGAAGCGTTCTGCCATATTTATTCCGCCAATGCCCACCGAGAATAATAACAATCCAGCGACCGAGGTCAGCATATGCAAGTTCAAGTTCACGGGCGGCGCCAAGCCGAGTCTCCAGGAGAAGAAGAGTCTCTCCGTCGACTCCGGTGGTAACTTCAGGTACTACAGTGGCACCGGAGACAAGAGCATGCGCGGTTACGAATTCTTCCCACGTGAGTCTCTTCAGCAACCTGCTGGACAAGCTGGCTCCTCGGCTGGAGCTTTCCTTAGCGCAGCTGGAGAACGGATACCAGCCCCAGTGACCGGCGCCTCCGTAGCAGCCGCAGCTGCAGCCGCGGCGGCGGTCGCTGCGTCCTGTCAACGTCCTCCGGCCATACAAGAGGATGGTCGACGGAAACGCAAGACCAGGAAGTCCTTGCAGCGTGAAAAGCTGGAACAGACTTTCAAAGAAAAAGGCTTCCTCATTCAAACTCAACAGCTGGAATCCGCAGAGGGTGCGACTTACTGCAAGTTCAGGCAACTGCGCAAGTTCACCAGGTACTTATTCAGGAGCTGGAAGGACTATCTTCCTGGCAATGTGCGCGAGTTGACCGGAGCCTCGGAAGCGGATGTTATAGAGGCTGATCCCGAGGTTGAGAACGAGGTCGATCCCGAGTCCCCTATCGTCGGCTCCCCTCTCTCGAGTTCCCTCGCCCCCAGCGAATTGATACCTGGACCAGAATTACTCGAGGAGTCCCGAACTCTTTCCCTGACCCCTTAGGCTTAATCCCTACGCTAAGTAAAAGAATGTCTGGAAGCCGCATTTATTGCTTTCGTGCACGTCCGTCCACGTCGACTTCCGTCCCTCGGGGCGACGCATTTACGTCACAAGAGGATCGTCCTCGGGGCAGGGAGTCTGCCATATCGAATTAGCTGGTGACGGTCGACAGCATCACGTCCGATGCTCAAACGCGCGTAATCAGATCGTCGTTGGTCTTGTGCGAGTCAACGTAGCTCTGTGCCAAAGATGGGAGACTGGTATGTACATAGAGAATAGCAGAGAATGGAAGTGCGTGAGTGGTACCGAGCCGCGCGCATCTAATTAATAGCGATTGTGTTAACCAAAGAGTGCATGTGTAAAATAAAGAAGCGTGCTCGGCAAGTGGTACGAGTGAGACAGAGAGAGAGAGAGAGAGAGAGAGAGAGAGAGAGAGAGAGAGAGAGAGAGAGCGAGTGTAATTTTTTAAAATGACGTTAATTATTTAATATCGTCTAACGAAGTCTAGTCTTATTTATACTCTTGCGTGGAACGAGAAATTAGAAGTGTAAAAAGAAAAACAGAAAGAAAATTAAAGAAGCGAATAACTGAACGCGTCGCGACGCACTTGGACGTCGTGCGCCACGACGCTTCCCTAAGTGCCTGTTCGAAGCGCGACCTCGTCGCGCGCATATGCTCACTGTATAGAGGTCACATGTTGTTTATAGCTTGTAATAAAACTATATTGTTATTAACGATATCGCATTCTCCCTCTTAGATCCTTTCTCGTACAAGCGAATCCTCTTCCAGTACACGGTACTCTCCATATAGTTGGTACAAGGAACACTCGATGGGCCGACGCTCGGCATTCAGCTCCTGGGGCAGCAATTAAGGCTGCTTCTTTTGATTTCATTGATGCGATCGTGGAGCTGGGACTTATGGACCGTCTGATGGGAGAGAGAGAGAGAGAGAGCTGAAGAAGAAGACACATGAAGGAACGAGAGAAAAGAGAGAAACGAGAGAATCGAGCAAAGAGCCAGAGAGCTGAGGACGCAGAAACAGGACTTGGCAGAGAAGAACTGGAGACGTCAGCGTCGCTGCCTGCTTCGCGACTGTTGGCCACACAGCCATGCACGAAGCCACGCACGCACTGCATGTGTGGTCATGTGTAGCTTGATGCACCGGCGTGTGCGTGCCATGCGTGCGCGCGCACACAGGCGTCCCAACTAGTAAGCGGCGTCTCGACGCACACGCATGGTTCTTGTACAGCCGAGTGCGTAGGGCCCCCCATTCATGCATACGCCCATTCACGCATCTCTGGCTCACCTTGACGGCTTTTTGTCCCTACCGATAGTCCTTCTTTCCCTTTCCATTTATCTCTCTGCACCTTCGCTCTCCTCTCCTTGTCGAGATGTTTGTGATTATATGACGCTATTTTTTACATTTTTTTTACCTCCGTAGAACTCGCTGGATTTTGGAAAATGACGCAATGCTTGGTTCTGGCACTTTCGTTACGTGGCTGCTGCGCTCGCATAGGTACTTCTCTGTGGATAAACGACAGATGGCGATTAGTTGTATTATTGTATGCAGAACGAATAGAGATACGTACAGGGAAGCAGATGCATAAGGCTGCAGCAGCGGAATAGAATCGGACGGAAGTCTCTATGGGGAAGCAGAAGTTTCTACGTCGTAATTACGAGGAGTGCCGAGGGTTCCCCACCGCCAGGCGATATTCTCTTATTGTCCCATCTTCTTTAGTGACTTTTTGCAGTTGCGCTGCTGCGCCTCCTCGCCGTTCAGGAGAGCCGCGCACAATGACTGCAGGTTTCCTAATACGGCCTCGGCGGAGTCCTCGTGAAAAAAAGAGGAATTTCGGCGAGTACCTATAAGTATACGAGGGCAGGATCAGCGGTGCCTGGGAAGAGGAGAACATCGTGGCTTGGCGGATTCGATAAGACAGCAACACGATGCGCACCGTCGATATATATACATACAGCTCTCGCAGGTTCGTTCTTTGATATAGGAAGCCACGCGTTCCCCAATGAGACGCCAGGGTGGCCATCTAGACTGTCTACCTGGCTGGTCGCACTGATCATAGCTGATATGAGGTACGTGGTGCAGGCGAGACAGGTTCATGGAGGAAAAAGTTCAATTTGTCTGGCGCGTTCCCTATCCTGGATAGTTGATCGTGAATCGCCTAGGTAAGGGGACGCTTCGTTGGTTGGCGCTGGGGCGCTTTCCGCGTCCTTAATGACGTTCCCGGCGGTACGTTGCCTCCTGGACGTCTTCGTGTTCTTCGTAAGGCCCGGCTCGCGTGGCTTCGGCACAAGAACGGCTTCATGAATGAACTCCGACGCGGCTCGATAGAAGGATTCTTCTCTCTCTCTCTCTCTCTCTTACTCCACGTTTCTTTTTCTCGTCTCACTCTTCTCTTTTCGATACCCGGTTAAACTGGAATTGTCACAATGCAGACGGAATGCCTGATTGTTTCTAGGCAGTGGCGACTATTCCGCGTGGCTAAGAAGAAAGAGACGCCACCGGAAATCATCATTCTCGGCGCGAGTTTTAATCCGAGAAACCGGAATCCTCCCGAGCCGCGTGCAACCTGACTGACAATAAGACAGTCCTCTCACTACCTCGATCCCTACCTTGAATTCCGGGCCTGTTCTCTCATCCGCGACCACGTCCACGTCCACCTTCGTCTTCGTCCTCCTCTTCATCCTTGTATATCTCTCCACCAGCCATTCTTCTCAACTTTTTCATTCTCTTTCTGGCGTTCGCCTCACCGGACATTCCTCGATACCTCGGAGTTGAACAGTATAGGAAGTCACGGCGCCCAACTACGATAGCCACCATCCTGCAACGTCAACGTGCACCTCTTAGGAACAAGAACGAATATCCGCGAGCAATACTTCCTGGTCACGGCACCTGGTCCCTGTGTAGAGTTTAGAAACCCTAAAGGTCACTGGTCTCCGTGTAGGCGATTGGGACTTCGTGGGCCTGCACCTTCCCAGCAGGTAGTCAGGCGGCCAGTCAAACGTCCAAGGAGTTAACGATTACGCGATGATTTCGTGACAAATTAACCTGGAAAAGTTTCGTTTGGCCCTGGTGAACCATCGCCAGGGGGTATTCGCTGCCTCGCGTGACTGGGACTTACGAAATTCTCTCTACACGTTGAGAGGTACCCAGGGCCCTTTCCACCTGGTGGGCGTTCTTGGGGCCCACGCAGATAATCTGTTCAGGAGCACCTTACGAACCTGCGATAGTTAAAATCAACGAACCGTTAGACTTGGTCCTATACCGTCAACACCATTATACCATAATACTAACCAGAGTTATGTGGACAGGTTGTTGTTGCAAGATATCACTTGGCGACGAGTAACAGGTGTATATATATAATCTCCATCTATATAAATACTGTCCGTTGACGCTGGTACACGCGGACACTCCTCGAATCTAATTCTAGCAGTCGAGTTTACGTAGCATTTAGTAGTATTTACGATTCATCTAAAATCAGAGAAATCTTCGGATAGGACGCGTGAGAACTTATTGAGCAAGGATGCTGGGTTCAGGATGCATGATGCAGTGTGCGTCCTCGGATCACCGCATCCTTTTGCCGCGCTTATACCAGCTGGTCCAACTTCTTGCTGGCCACCGACAGCTGCAACGAAAACGAAAAATTCGATTGCTTCGCCGGTCAACAACTCTACGCACAGCAGGCTTATGCGATGCTGCTCAGACTCTTTCGTTCCCTTGTGCAATTTTGTGACAGGTTAACAGGACACAGAAATTATTTGATCTTCCTGATCTGCAACGATAGCTACTTTCGTAAGGGGTTTTATGCGTTCTTTGTACGTTTTTTAAAGGGTATGTTAGGTTTCCATCGAGTACAAATTATAAATAAAAATCTCAATTGTTGTAATTTGCATAGGGATGAAGAATGCATTTAAAAATTTGGTACGCTTTTTGAGGAAAAACAGAACGTTGACATAGCGAATGTTTCGACGAATTATATACCACGTGAAAATGTACACATTCTATTTCGATTAATTATTCTTATTAGAGAATAAAGGTACTTTAATAATAATTTGGATACTTTTATACGGAGGATTTCCGATTAACACAACGTAACCTTTCTAATGCCTACATTCTAATGACTACTTATACAACCTTGTATACATTGTAATAAAAACTGTCGTTACCTTTTACATTTTTACTCCATTATTCTAAATTCTTGATGTAGTTTGTTGTGTACGGGATGTAATTAACCAGTAAATGCAATTATTATGTGCAACGTAAACTTGCAGGTTATTACGTAAGCCTGATTCATTGTCTAATTACTGTATTTACGTTTTTATTATTTGAACTACTTAATTTGTCTAACTCGTCACATACATTATTCACATTCTTGCGAGACACAATTCCACGTAACAGCTCGATTATCGTTTTATTTTGAACCATTCGATAAACATAGCATTTATATCGATACAGTTCGTTCGAGAAACATTTAAAAGGTTTAAACGTAGAAGTAATGGCGTCGTTAAAAAAAAAGTCAGTAGGCATCTTTGACGAATAGAAAAGGGTAACATCGTCAGTTAAAAATACTAAGTAATTTATGTTACAAAATTTAATAACTTTAGTGCATTAATATGAATTTCTTTTTTGAATAATTTGAATATTGTTGCAGATATCGTGACTGTCAATTGACTCAGTCTTGACAGGCCCTGTGAGTTGCGCATGCGTAGTAACTTTTCAGTAGTAACGGTCGTTTTGCGAATGTAGGTTTACAGTCACGTAAGATCGGAGAGTAAATTTTGAGAAACGTGAAAGTAATATTAAAACACAATCTAAATTCGTGTTTATATAAATTATTGTAACGTCTAGAAGCTGTAGATAAAGTTTCGGTTACGAGAAACAGTGGTAGATCGGGATATTCGTGTAATTTTGTGATCGCTATTTCCTTTATCTCGCTACAAAGGAACGCTGAGTGGTGTGTATATATTTGTGCCCATAATCCAGGTCAGAGGGTGAATTTACAGTGTTTCCTAGGATAGCAGGTACTGCTTAGACAGTTTTATGACAACATTGAACTACGACGATGATTTATTTTCCAGAAATATGGTGAGTTCAAGTCTTATTCTATAATTTCTTTATTCTGCGCAGTAGTAGAAAACGCCATGTTCACGAATAATTATATTAATGATTAATATTTTGGCTTCCATCAACAGTGGAATACAAAAGGAGGAAGCTGGTCAAGTGAAAAGGATATTTATTAAACGAGGAAATATAAATGGAAAGAGAAGGAAGGATGACGCAGAGTGGCGAATTGCGTGCAAGTAGCGTACGAGCAGTTATCGTATCGTCGTTGGGAATCCGCGACTGGTGAGTAGATTTTTGAATCCTTCTGATTTCCAATCATGTCGTAGGGTGAAAGTCCCAGAGCGACACGGAAGTTAGTCGTAATTTATTAAACTTAAGTGCACAGTGACCACGACTCTACCTTCGTTGCGTGGAGCCGCGAGTGATTCTTTGTTTTTTTATATTATATGAAAATCTTTAGAGTAGGATTATTCTCTTCTTTTTGCTTCACTTTATTCGCTATATTAATAATGGTATTTCGTGTATATTTTATTTTAACCTTGATGCGTGGGTACTCACTGAGTTACTCTTACAAGGAGAATTCACACCCTGTGGAATTTTGTTTGTTCATTTTCCTCGCAGTTGTAGATCATCACCAAACTAGTAATGTATTATAATA